ATAACTAACTGTACAATTCTTTATATTCTCTCCTTGGTACTTATTATTTTTATTTGTATGTCGTCTCCTTTGCACGTATTTTATTTTTAACCTTTGCACCAATTATTTTTTTCATACACGTCATAATTTTATCCTGTTTCTGAAATTTATTTTTAATAAAACAGTAAAAATCTCCTTTAACCAACAAAGTCTGCAATAGTAAGTTAAGACAAGATAAAATATATTACAGTGAGCCCACTTTACTTTTTCATTAGTATCTCTTTAAACAAATTCTTTCCGTTATAACATATATTTTATTGTATACTTTAGGAAAAGCTGTTGTATTGCACATCTTTAGTTTTATTCCTCCTTCTTTCTCTATGAAAAGCAAGTAGCATTGAGTACTTTTTTTTTTTTTTTTGAAAAAAATATAGCATTTAGAATGCAAGTAAAAATACAGCACTTCCTGGTTTATTAATAGAGCAAAATTAATAATCACTCTGGGAGAGAGCACACAGCTGGCAATGATGTCAAGGCATTCATCATTCTGAACTTCTTTTTTCCAGTTGATTTTGTTGTATCCAAGTTCGTGTTGCATTCCTCCCAAAAGTATCTGGTGATCTGCAGTAAGTCATTTATCGTCTTCATGTTGATGGACGCAAGTAAAGCATCTCTACAGCGAAGAAGCATCACACCTTACAATTTCTTCATTACATATATTTTTTCATTCTCTATGCTTGTAACAAAAAAATTTATTTTGAATCCTTCTATGTTAAAGGAAAAGATATTCTGCTTGCTGTCGATGTTTATAGTGCGCAGTATAAATATCGCCAATTTCAAAATGTCCATATTCAGCCCTTCTTTTTTTTTTTTTTTTTTGAAACACTCCCAAGCTTGCACTTGCCGTAACCAAGGCATACGTTTTCATTCACTGCGCTGATGACTGCATCTGGCCTTTTCGAAGAATAGTTCTCAGTAGCCTTGTTGGTCTATCGTAAAACTACATTGTTTTCAGTTTCGGACAGCATCGATGTCAACAAGGGGATGCAGTACGTGCTCTATAACTCTGACTCGCCAAGCTTGGAAACATCTACCTCTTTCTTTGGAAGAAAGTTTAGCATACAAGCAATACCCTTAGTTGCATTCAGCCTTTTCCTTGAAAAAAGACTATTAAGCCAACGACGTACGAATTAGATTCTTTAAAAAAGAAAAGTTGAATACTATTGAAATAAGACACGCATGCGTTTTATAAGGGTAGAGAACGCATGACTGCCATTTATATCAATGTGGTCAGTGTGATTATTTATCAATGCTATACAATCTTTTCAGAACGTAAAGTCGCATTTTTGTAGTTTTTATAATACGACTTGTACGAAAAGCAGCAAGTCAGCGCGACATCTCTTTCTGGAAATGGTGTACTCGTAGTTACTATTGTTATTTTTATTATTACAAGTTATTCTTATCAGATGCGCTAGAGAAATGTATGCTTTTTTTATAAAATAATTACGGCTTACACTTTTTTTAGAGCTTTGACGTTGAAAAAAATGACATTCAATTAAATTAGAGCTGTTTGAAGTCCATAAGAAAGCCCACAAACACGATCGAAAACTTGTAAATGCCCTCCTGAACTTGTAAGCAGTATACAACGATCCGTCCGATCAACTCTTTGCGAGATACCGACTTGAAAAAGTGGTAAGGAATTCCAATCTTGACAGATCAAGTGAAGACCGCACAGACCCATTCCCAAGGAGAGCTTGAAAGAAGAACATCAAAGAATTTACTAAGAAAAAAAACCATGCCTGAGGATGTGGTCAATTTGGTATAAAAATAGTGTATGATCTTCAAGTAATTTACTAGTTTCTCAATACATACGTTCATCTTTCAATTAAGTCTTAAAAACTTGGTTTGTGGAAGGAGCTCAGGATTCGAGTAAGAGAATCGTTTCCATAAAGGCTGATGCTGTCATGATGTTTTTAATTTGTGTGGTGGATAACAGTAAAGAGAGTAGAAGCGATCTTCTTAGTAATAGATAAAACCAAAGTTAGACGCTCATGGAGGGAAGTATCTTATTGCTTCAGTCAAGCCTGCTGCTGCATAGACTGGATATACTTTCCAATTAAGGTAAAAAGTGTAGAAAGCGATGAGACATTTATTTTTCACAAGCCGACCGTCGTTTGATCGTCTTTCATTGATGTGTGAATTATGCTTGGATTTTCTAAAGATGTGTGGGTAAAGATGTATCTTGATCATGAGGCATATTAATACTAAAGAAAAATCTCAACTAAAGAATGGTATCTCTTATAAACAACTGATAACAAAAAAGATCTTCAACAGTCAATGCAGACGAGTATCTTTATGCCTGCAGTGGCTTAAAATTTGATATGAGTCAGACTCAGACCGTATAATTATCTCAAATCTATTTTTTGATTTTGTTTCTTTAAACTTATTAAAAACTTACCTTATGGCTTCTGGTAAGACAGTTCACTCTCACCAAAACATAAATAAACACAGACTAATGGATAACATAGACAAGCTTAATATCCTTCTCGTGGGCTCAGGTGGTCGTGAGCATGCTATTGCCTGGAAGCTTGCCCAGTCTGAAAGAGTTCAGCATATCTTTGTTGCTCCTGGTATAACATACTATTGCAAATAACCAAAACATGATGCTAACATCATTCTTTTTCGAAAAGGTAATGGAGGTACGGAAAACGGCACCAAGATCACAAACGTCAAGATAGGCGTCAGCGAGTTTGACAAGTTGAAGGATTTCGCTGTTGAAAACAAGGTAAGTTATACATGAGAGCAAGTGTATCGTAATTCTAAAATATATCTTAGATTGATCTTGTTATTCCCGGCCCTGAACAACCTATTGTCGAAGGTATTCAAGCTGTTTTCAAGAAAGGTGAGTCTGAAATTGAACATACAATTCCAATTGGCGATTAATTTGATCATAGTGGGTATTCCCTGCTTTGGTCCTTCTCCAAAGGCCGCTCAAATGGAAGGATCAAAGGCCTTCTCAAAAGATTTCATGAAGAAGCACAATATCCCAACTGCTGCATACGAGGTAATACATTTTATAAAAGATTCGACCAAGTGACTCATAGTCATCAATAGAACTTTACAGATTACGAAAAAGCTAAAAAGTATGTTGAATCAGTGGATCACAAAGTCGTATTGAAGGTAATAAAAAATGCACACAAACTATGGATGAAGAAGCTCAAACAGGATCATTATAGGCTTCAGGTTTGGCTGCTGGTAAGGGTGTCTTGATGCCTGAAAACAAAGAGGAAGCACTTGAAGGTCTTAAGGCTATCATGGTCAACAAGGAATTCGGAGATGCTGGTTCCGAAGTTGTAATTGAAGAATGCCTTGAAGGACAAGAACTCTCTTTCTTGGCCTTTTCTGACGGATACACCATCATTCCTCTTCCTCCTGCTCAAGATCACAAGCGTGCTCTTGATGGAGATAAGGGACCCAACACGGGTGGTATGGGCTGCTATGCTCCCACTCCTATTGGCACACCAGCTCTTATTGAAGAAGTCAAACGCACCATCTTACAACCTACCATCGATGGTATGCGTCGTGATGGCTTTCCCTTTGTCGGTATGCTTTTCACAGGTATCATGTTGACTGCCTCTGGACCTAAGGTCTTGGAATACAATGTCCGTTTTGGAGATCCTGAAACTGAAGTTGTTTTACCTCTCTTGAGTGATGATACTGATTTGGCTGAAATCATGATGTCATGTGTTGAAGGTCGTCTTGATGCTGTTGCTATCACTACCAAGAATGCTTTTGCTGCTACTGTCATCATTGCCTCTGGAGGATATCCTGGTAGTTACGCTAAAGGAAAGGAAATTACTCTTCCTGAAAACACCTCTGGTAAGATTTTTTTCTTTTTCTTTCTTGTAACTCATTAATGACACATTTATAGACGTTACCGTTTTCCATGCTGGTACAAAGGTTGTCGATAACAAGCTTTTAACTGACGGTGGTCGTGTTCTCGCTGTTTCTGCTGTGGCCAACACTTTACGTGAAGCAGTTGACAAAGCCTATATTGGTGTTAAATCCATCCAATTCGAAAACATGTATTACCGTAACGACATTGCTCACAGAGCTTTCAAACACGCTGAACAAAACGATAAGAAGACTGGTCTTTCCTATGCTGATGCTGGTGTCTCTATTGATGCCGGTAACTTGTTGGTCCAAAAGATTAAGCCTCTTGTCAAATCAACTCGCCGTGTTGGAGCCGATTCTGATATTGGTGGCTTTGGTGGTCTTTTCGACTTGAAGGCAGCTGGTTTTGTGGATCCTATTTTGGTCTCTGCTACCGATGGTATTGGTACCAAGCTCAAGATTGCTCAAGACTGCAACATCCACAACACGGTCGGTATTGACTTGGTTGCTATGAATGTGAACGACTTGATTGTTCAAGGTGCCGAGCCTTTATTCTTTTTAGACTACTTTGCTTGTGGTAAACTCGAGGTTGACGTTGGCAAAGACTTTGTGGCTGGTGTTGTCGAAGGTTGTCTTCAATCTGGATGTGCCCTTGTTGGTGGTGAGACAGCTGAGATGCCTGGTCTTTATGCCTTGGGCGACTACGACGGTGCTGGTTTCACTGTAGGTGCTGTCGAACGTGAAAAGATCTTGCCTCGTTTAGATCAAATTAAGGCTGGTGATGTTGTTCTCGGTTTAGCATCCTCTGGTGTTCACTCCAATGGATTCTCACTTGTCCGCAAGATTGTTGCCTCACAGCCCGGATTAACCTACCACTCCCCTTGTCCTTGGAACAAGACCAAGTCCTTGGGTGAAGCCCTTTTGGTTCCTACACGCATCTATGTCAAGCAACTCTTGCCTGTTGTCAAGAAAGATTTGGTCAAAGCCATGGCTCACATTACCGGTGGCGGTTTCCTTGAAAACATTCCCCGTGTTATGCCAAGTGACCTTGCTGTCATCATAGATGCTGCCTCTTATGAATTACCTCCTATCTTCAAATGGCTCAAGCAAGCCGGTGGTCTCTCTGATCACGAAATGTCTCGTACTTTCAATTGTGGTATTGGTATGGTCATCGTTGCTGACCCTGCTCACGTACCAGAAATTACTCGTTTGTTAGAAGAGTCTAACGAAACCGTCTATAAACTCGGTTCAGTCGTTCCCAAGAGCGAATTGGGTGGCAAGGAAGTCGAAGTTCGCAATACAAATGGTTGGTAATTTTCTCTAATATAGCTCCCTCTTTTTGTGTATATATTTATAAAAGTAATTGAAAAACAAACACATATAAATCATTCTATTCATGCGTTTTTGAATTGATAAACTATAAAATGGTAAAAAGAGTGTTTTATTTACTATGATTAATGTTAATTATACGAATGAATGACACTGATATGAAAAAGTTATGTATCAATTTCTTAATGGTTGACATTGCATGTATCAGATAATAAGACAATAGAGGTGTTATTGACAGAAGGAGGCAAAAGAGTCAAGGTCTTGTTGAAAGTATCTTGACTGACGGAAGAAGATCTGGAGAGGATAGCACCGTAGATAGTGTCAGCACGTTTGGTGTTGGTGTTGCCACCATCGTTAATAACTGAAGCATGAGAGCCCCAGACAAAGATAGTGTCATAGTTGGTAGAGTCAGTGCTACCAGGTTGAGCATTAGAATCGATCAAACGAGTGTAGACAGTGGCTTGCATAGGACGGGATCCAGGAATAGCCATGCTACCGCTTTCGGAAGCGTTCTGGTTACTTTGGCCATTAGATGTAAAGTTATCCCATTGAGCCTTGTTGACGAATACTTGAGAAGTGTAAGCAGACCATGCGAGGTCATGAGCAGTGACATTAAGATCGCCCGTAGGAGGTTGCAACAAGAGAGCGGCAGCAGCAGTGGCATTAAGACCGGCACCAGAAGAAGTGCGGTTCAAGAAGGCAGAGCCCAACAAGTCAAGTGTGCTGTTGGAAGAGCCAGTAAGGTTGAGCTGAAGACAGTCAACGTTGACATTCATCTTTCCAGCAATAGATGTGTATGCATCCCAGACGTTAGAAGTGACAGCGGTCAAGAACCCTATGGAGCTCAGGTGAGTATTGTGTATACATAACTTTTAAATAACTTACATGTGCCATTGAGGGATTGAACGTTTGTGTTGTTGGGATATTGCGTAGTAGCATCACCCTGTTGGCCTTGTTGATTTGTATCATCTCTAGGCAAGATAGCAGCATTGGTAACAGAAGAGACAGCCAAGAGAGCAGCAGCGATTTGAGTAGCAAAGAACTTCATTTTATATGTGTTAATAAAAAGAAAGAAAGAAAGAAAGGAAAGGATGTCCTTTTATATAGAATTGTATGTATGCATGATGTTATACATATATCTTTTTATCGACTTGACTAAATATATTCAATAAAAAGTTTCAGCGTCATATTTCTTTTTTTCTTTCCAGAAAGATGCGCGCATATTAAAGTAATGATGTAAAACATACGTTTAATAAAGTTACAATGAAAATGCTAGATTTAGTACTGTGGCCTTTTTTATGTATTGACATGACGATGGTCTTTTGTATAAAGGTTCTTAGTCCGATTACCAGAGCCAATGACATCTTGTATTTCTTGTTCCTTACGCAATGATCCCAAAAGTCTATTCCCTCACTATTTTTGGAATAAGCTTTCCTCCCCTCCTCAAGTAGTTCCATTAAAGTGAATTGTGTGTATGCCAAGAGTTAATAATGATGTCCTTATTCAGGTACCATGAATGATATATTATTAACTGCATATAATGCTTGTTTATCACTTGTGATTTTATTTCCTTTTTTTTAATACAGATGGAAAGTAGACAGAAACAGTTGGCAGTGCTGTCAAAGCATATTGAGGAAGCAAATGATAGAATCAATAAAGTATTAGACAGACTGGGTTGGACAAGAGAGCATATCAAGCAAAAATATAAAGTACGACAAAGCATATTACAGTTTATTATTCCTAATGAGCAATAATACTCATCATAGGAAAGAGATCAATTACAAACATGTCCAATCAATAAAAGACACAAAGTACTGTCAAAAAGTTTTAATGAGCATTATAAACGCTGTCTATTGAAAAGCAGTGGATTCTATATCAAAAGAGTATATATTTATAAAGTACTTGTACTAAAAATAGAGAAATAACATTTGTGAATAGAGACGAGTCAATAAAACAAACCCACAAAGCTCTTTATTCTTTTACAAGGATAGTCCATCCGTGATATCCTTTACTACACAAGATGTAAATACATGTAATACAATTCAAGAATCTGAAATTCATCAAGAAAAGACAGTCGATGAAAGACGACAAGAGTATGATAAAGTTGTACTCTTGACACATAAGCTTCGTGCTCAAAAAGATATAAATAAAAAGTGATGAAAAAGACGTTTTTTTTGGTAAATTAAGTCTTTGGTATATTGTTTGAGGTATCATTCATATCATCTTCGGTATATAAGAAGCCTAATAATGATTGATGACTTGATATATTAGGCATTGCTTGATCTATAGGATTATTATGAAAGCCAAAAGACTGCATTTGATGATATAGTGGTTGAGAGTGTACCTGTTCTGTCATGTCATATGTCAATGGTTGGTATAGTGCTGTATCTGGTGTAGTAATGGGTAATTCAAGAGATTTATGTTTATACTTTGTCATCTTTTTCTTTCTTTGCTTTTGATATATTCCCAAAGGTTCATCTTGATATGTGTCATTTGTCTCTCGAGATGCCGTCAACTCTGTCACGGGTGAGATCGCTGCCAACTTTTTTGTGATGTCCAAAAGCATATTGAGTTCATGTTCAAATCCGGCTTCTTGAAAGACAGTAACGGCTGCTGATAGATAATGCACCACTTGTTGAATTCCTCTTATCGAACAGTACATATCCTCAATGGCTTCACATTTGAGGATGAGCTCAATGATATGCTTAATATTAAACGCTGCTTCTGTACAATGACCAGTGTGGGGTGATGAATGATCTGTTATTTGGAACGCAAAGGGTCGATGTAATGAGATGGTTGCAAAACAAGCGGCAAGGTATAAAAAGCAAACAGCATAGCACATGTTATCCTCAGTAGGAAACTTTGTGATTGAAGTTACCATGCCTATCGCTGTCTTTAAATGACCTGTCAGTTGGTTGAACGCCTCCTCTTCCCTCCAATCTGTAATCACGTTTGTCACTGTGAACTGTGGATCATGTTTTCTACGGAGAAAGTCAATGATCTCGGCTTGACAGCACATGAGTTTGGTTAAGAGAATAAAGTGCATGATTTTTTCATGTTCATTGGCTTCGTCAGATAGGACATATGGATTGTCGATAGGGTATTCCTTTATGTTGAAGTGAAATGGTGTGCCATTTTCAATGCTAAGAGAGAAGTAATATGTGCTTTTTTTTTAGCTGAGGTAAAAAAAAGGGAGAATAGCAATATCAATACCTCATCATCACATCATAGCAATACACAGCCCAAAAGGTTCTCTTACGTTTTTCGAGTTCTATCATTACGCTTGGAGAACTAGTGTTAAACATGATGTCACGTTGTAGACCAAGATCTTTGCACATACGAACAATCATCTGAAAGTAGTATCTCATTCTCCACACAAATCCTGGGCGTCGGACATGTTCATTATACTTTAGTAGTAGTAGTAGTGCTTGTACGGTTGATAGTTGCGGTTCCTTTTGTTGGTTTAATAGGTTTATTGCTTGCTGGTAGTAGCTCCACCCCCTTGGTTCATCCTCCCTGACAGGTACACTCATATCCCATCTTGATGATACACAGTATATTGCATTGAGTAACAGACTACTGATCGGTTGATGGCTTTTGACTTGATGATAAAAAGATGGTTTATGTAATATGGGCAACAGAGGGTCTATATACTGAAAGTAGATACCCAATAAATGCTCCTGTATAGGTTCACTGTTGTATATTTCAGGCTTTGGTTGTAGTTCCTTTAGGATGATATCCACATTCTCATCCAGATTGAAGGCAGTAGGTACTCGATCTATTCGAAGGCAACTATCTGGTATATAAGATGCATGTCCTACAGTAGATACGGGTAATAATGCTTGAAACCCTTATCAATACATATTCGCTGATATGCCATTCATGTTACCTTCACTTTTACTTGGACCCGAATTTGGAAATAATGGCGGTTCAGGGGCTTCTGTATCAATGACAGCCGACAGCTGTGTGAGTTTTTGTTCCAACTTTTTCAACTTCACTGTATGACTTTCGGTAGTTGACTTTATACTTTCTTTTTTACTTGGTGGTTTATCAAAAGTACAAGCACTGTTGGCCTTTACGCAACGATCACAAGGTGATTGTCCATCACATTTGACCTTTTTTTTTTTACACACGAGAGAAACTAGTTAAGTTCGCTTATTTTATTCGCTCCCTTTTTCTTTTTATACTTTTCTCTTTCGACAGGGAATACAGGCTCGAGGAGACTTTCTTTTAGATTCACTGCCGACACTAGAACGTCTCTTACTGGAAGCTGGACTTGTTGCTGGTGAATCAGTGTCTTGTTCCATAGGTTGCATAAGCTTATAAAAATAAAAAGTAAAAAAGAGAAAAAGAGACTGTACTATTTAAAAAAGAAAAAAAAGAGAGAAATAATCTATGTGCCACATAATATAAACAAAACCTTTGGGTCAGTCTTATGAACAGTACCTTGTCTTTTAGTCTTTATTACACTTTATATTTTCTATTGGCTAAAACACAGCATTTTTTTTTTTTCAAAAGCAGCGCAATACTCACTCAAGAACCACCAAAAATTTTTTTATTGATTTAATAATAATCCAATGGAGAATAAAAAGAGACAAAGAAGTGAAGAAATGACAGATTCACAAGCAAAGAAGAAGCAGATCTTGGATAAAGTGACAGATCCTTCCTATCTTTTACCTGTATCAGCTTTATTGACAGCAGAAGAAGAGGACTTTCGCGTAATTGTGGGCACCTATGAACGTTTGCTGTATGGACTTAATGTCAACTGGATCCAAGAGGTAGAAACATTATATAATCTAGAACAGTATTGCTTAAATTATAAGATTAGAAAACCAAACTTAGATTAGAACCCATTTTTATTATTCCTGCTCACACCGGATGTATTCGTACTGTATCCGTAGGTGGTCATTTTCTAGCTTCAGGAAGTAGCGATGAAATTATTCGATTATATGATGTGAAAAAGCGTAAAGAGTATGGATCACTGGGTGGTCATCATTCTGGAGACATTACAGATATCAAATTTCATGGTAAATATATGCTCTCTGCTAGTGAAGATCACACAATCAATCTGTGGAGAACAAAGGACTGGGAATATCTAAAGACACTAAAAGGACACAAGTAAGTGAAGAGACAAGAAAGGAAGCAAGATACTAATATCCAATAGAGCCAAGGTCAATTCAATGGCTATTCATCCAACAGGTAAAATTGCTCTGTCCGTGGGCACTGACAGATGTGCTATTGTTTGGAATTTGATGACGGGTAAAAAAGCAAGTATAAATAAATTAGGAAGAGGTAGGAGATAGATGGATCATTTGAGATTGTTAATAACATATTGGTCTAGATGAGGGAATGATTGTGTTGTGGAATACGGCTGGAGATAAATATGCCATCATGTTTGATAAAAAGATCAATGTCTATAATGTATCAGATGCACAAGTAGCCACGACAATGTCACATACATCTAAATTCCATACTATTAAATACTTTGCACTGAATGATGAAGAATACCTTATCAGTGGACATGAAGACAAGATAATCCGTATCTGGAATTTATCAGGAGAATGTATAAAGGAGATCAAAGGACATAAGCTCAGAGTGAAGGCATTGACAGTGATCAAGTGTGATGAAAGGACATTATGTGCTTCAGCGTCATCAGACGGTGTCATCAAGTGTTGGGATTTAGAGTCTATTGTTAAATCAGAAAGCAAGGATGAATTTGAGTGTTTGGGAGAATATGATACCAAGTGCCGTATTACGTGTATTGATGCTCATAACAAGTTTTCTTAATAAATAATGATTAACAAATGATTTTTTCATTCTTTTTATACTTTTTCCCGAAATTGGCCCTTGTTGGGTTGGATGGAGTGAACTTTTAATTTTTTTTTACATAGTTTATGCACACTTGTCCTAAGTGGAAAAAGAAGTCTGCTAAAAAGCTTACTAGTATACATGTTGCTATTATTACTATTATTACTGCCCATCTCTTTCTGCTACTAAAGGATTTACATAACTGGTTAAACTATTATCCCATATTTGGTAATTTTATCTGTGTGATGTAATAAATGCGCACACATAAAGGACTTAAAAGTCCCCCTTTTATCTTGACATACGCCAAGACACACACTTTTTTTTTTTCCTTTTTTTATTATTATTATCTCAAATGTACTTGTCTCGTGCCTATTTATCAAAGTTACCAAAGCAAACCGTCCAATTGAATCAAAGGCGATTATTTGCAACAGAAAAGATAAAAAATGCATGGTTTGGTCCTAAGCTGATACGATTATTCAAATACTCCACAGGAATCGGTGTCCTAGGAGGAGTAGGATATTATTTAGCTACAGACAAAGAAAGGTCTATTGATGTCTGGGGAGCCCATGAGCGCGTTCCTCAGGAAGCGCTTTTTCCTAAACGAGGAGGAGCCAAAAATTTACCTATTATTACGCGTCAAATTGATCAGTCGGTTGATAACCTAGATGACTCAAAGCCCCGTTTGGTGGTTGTCGGTAGTGGATGGGGCGCAATTTCACTAGTTAAAAAGCTTCAAAAAGACAAGTACGATGTCACTGTGGTCAGTAATAATAACTATTTTCTATTTACGCCTTTATTGCCGAGTGCAACAGTGGGTACACTAGAGCTGAGGTAAAGCAAGTAAACTACACATGTTCTTTATTGATTGACACTTTTTTTTATTGTAGATCATTGCTTGAGCCGATTAGAAAGATTGTGTCTAGGATTAGAGGTCATTTCTTGGAAGGCACAGCAGTAGACATTGACCTTGATAACAAACTTTTGGAAGTACAAGGTTGTAATGGTGAATCTAACTTTTATGTGCCTTATGATAAACTCGTCTTGGCTGTTGGTTCAACTAGTATGACGCATGGCGTACAAGGTCTGGAGAATACATATCAATTAAAGACAATTCAGGATGCCATGAACATCAAGCGACAGGTGACACAGAACGTCGAAAAGGCTTGTTTACCCACAACGACACCTGAGGAGCGTAAACAGTTACTTTCGTTTGTTGTCTGTGGCGGTGGTCCTACCGGTGTTGAATTTGCAGCCGAACTATCCGATTGGGTCAATGAAGACTTGGTCAAATGGGTAAATAGAGAGACAAAAAGGTATAATAGACGAGTATTCATGTTTCTTAGTTTCCTGAATTGATTCGTGAAGACGTTACGATTCACATCATTCAATCAAGAGATCATATCCTGAATACATTTGATAGTAGAATTAGTGAATATGCTGAAAACAGATTTGAACGAGACCATGTTCATGTCATCACAAATGCCCGAGTAGAACGAATTGAGCCAAACAAGGTCATCTATAAAGTAAAGCCAAAGGGTAGTGATGAACCCGTTTTACAAACATTACCATACGGGTTGTGTTTATGGTCTACAGGCATTGGTAAGGTCGCACATATACACAAAGTTGAAAAAAGAAAAGTCTTAATATTATTTTTTAGCCATGACTCCATTCGCAAAGAAGGTTACCGAAAAGTTAAAGGCACAGGAACACAAGCGTGTGTTGACCACAGATGGTTTCCTACATCTCCAAGGTGTTGAGGACTGTTCCATCTTTGCCCTTGGTGACTGTGCATCGATTGACAATCCAAGTCTAATGGAAAATATCATGGAAATATTTAAAGAAGGTGATACGTAAGTGAAAAAAAGAATTACTCGACGCAGCTGCTCATCTATATTTGTAGAAACAACGATGGTATACTAAGCTTTGACGAATTTGTTGCTCTTTGCAAATCAATGCGCACTAAATACCCCCTGACTGATCAGCATTTGAAAAACCTTGAAAAGATGTTCAAGACGTACGACAAGGACAAGACGGGTTCATTGGATATAGAAGAGCTCAAGCTACTGTTAAAGGATATTGACAGCAAGATGACCCATTTGCCAGCAACGGCTCAGGTTGCGAATCAACAAGGGCGTTATTTAGCTAAATATTTGAATCACCTGGCTGAACACGATGAGAAAACGACAAGGCAAACGATGGGTCCATTCCGCTATAATCATTTAGGAACATTAGCTTATTTAGGAAATACAGCAGTGGGTGATTTCAAGTGGGGATATAAAGTGATTGGTGGTCTTTGGGCACTCTACCTTTGGAGAAGTGTCTATTGGAGTGAACAAGTAAGCATGCGTACAAGAATGAATCTGTCTATAGATTGGTCCAAGTGTGCTGTTTGGGGTAGAGACATATCGACTGTATAATAAAAAGTACTATATACACCATAGTGTGGTCATGCAATCAACTGATTGGTCTGCTTCCTCTTTATAGAAAGTCGGGGCACTTTCTCTCTCTCTCTCTCTCTCTTTGTCTTTTTTTTTTTTTTTTTGCCTGCATACTTTTTTTTGTTTTTCTATATATAAATACATTTATATATATTATACATATATATTGTCTCTTTTCTTATTATGCTTTTAGAACAAGACGATACTTCAAGACAATAACTTCACCCCCCTTTTTTTTCACGCAATTGTATGAATTGTTAACTAATGAAGCATACTACACTTGACACAAAATTAACTATGGAATCCCGGCAAGAATCAAAACAGTCTGATAAAATTTTGTATTTCGAGCGCGATTTGGTAGGCACACCTACTTCTTCCAGAAGCTGTAGTCTATTCGATGTATGTAACTGCTGTGGAAAACAAAACTGTGAGACACTAGAATATTTCAACAAGACGATCAAGAAACTAGAGAGTGATACTCGGTTGGCTGCAGGTACGCATTTAAAGTAATCAGTTGTATAAAACTAACATGTTCAAGAAATCGGACAAGGTTTACTTCACAAACACGAAACTTTTGTTGCCGAATCAAATCAACAAACTGCAAAATTAAACAAGCAGGTAATTTTGTTCATGTGTCACACTTGTCAATTTTTAGACCTAACAAACAATGTACTACCTATGCACAGTTGGAAGAATACCACATACGAATCCATGACCTTGAACAATCATTAGAACAAGTAGAAAATCAAAAGGATGAATTATTACAAGAGAAAAACAAATTGTGTTGGGAACACCAAAAGAGACAAAAAGTAGCATGAAATATAAAAGGTGACAAAAAAAGTGACGTTAACAAACTCTCCTTGTTTGTTAGATGCTTGATGAAACAGTATCTGATTTGGAAATCACAAATGAAAAGTGTCAGCAATTAACAGCAGAGCTAGAATCCAAAAATAGTGAACTTGAGAAACTTCGGGTGTTCAAATTCATGGTGCGTCAATCTGAATTGAGAGAGGAGACATTGACATCCAAGGTAACAATGAAACAGTATTCAGGAGAGAGAGAGAATTATTAATACATTATATCAGCTTGAAGACACATATCAAGAATTAGCTATTTGTCGAAAGAACGAGTTACTGCTAGAGTCAAAAATTAAGAAATTAAGGACAAAATATGGTAAGCTTACATGTGGAGAGACTTACGCTAACTGATCACACGCATTAGAATCCTTGTATAATGCTTATGAACAATTAACCAGGGAAACCAATAATAACGTTAGTAATCCTGGCAGTATGACCCATCATCCCACTTTTATGGCCAATAATAATAGTAACAGTCATCAGACTGCTGTTAAGGTAAGTCATTGATACTAACCTCATATATATATATATACTAATGACTGATACGCATATATATATATATATATATATATATTATACACAGCCAACGCATGCTAAATATCATAAACCTCGCCTACCCCCAAAGAATGACGACGAGTTTGTGGATTATATTAAAGAGATATCATCAACCAATACTAAATTAAAATCAGATATTCTGAGCTACAAAGAACAATTATCAGAAGCAAGAGAGGAGATTGTTTCGCTCAATCAAAAGATCCAAGATAACACACCACCCGATACCATTTATCGTAATAATAACAATAATAATAATAATACTACTACTTTAGAAAGAGAAATAATGAATAATAAAAGGAAAAAACGCGCGGCTTCTGTCAAGTCGAAGGATAAAGTACAGAACGTGCCCATTCGATCCAAAACAACCATTATACCACCTTTACCCACCGTATCATCCTCCATGCCAACGACTTCGATGGCGACCACGGGCAACGCAGCTAGTAGTCATGGCAACGCCATTGTGCATCATCACTATCACTACTATGTGAAGAATAATAACAATGAAGAAAGTAGTACGAGTAGCTGCGCTGATTTTGATTGCTATGATGAGACTATCATTACTACAGAAAAGGTAAAATAGTAATATGCATATCATAGCTTTTGAATAACACATAGTCTTGACATTAGAGAAACAAGCCAATGATGACAAAGGAGCCAAAGAATCTTGTTCTTTCTCCTTCGACCTCGCTCTCTACAACCAGAAATGCACCAGACGAAGCCAAATTGAGGTTTCCATTTGCCATCCTCCAGGATCAAGTGAGCCAGATAGTCAACAGATTACGCGGCTCAGATATTCGTGTACTCAATAGAAAACTCAAGCGAGCATTTGACATTGTTGAACTTAGTAGCATGAGCAACTCTGTGATAGAGAATATTCTTATGGATATTGATACCCTCGACAATCGATTCCTTTGGATGAAGGAAGAAGTAGAAGAAGAATTGACGGCGTTTTTTCCTTTTTTGGAAGTTTTGAAGAACACATTAAAGGAGCTTGGTTCAGCCAAGATCACGGTGAATGATCTGCAAATGGCTTATGTACAGAAAATAGAAGAGAATGAAATACGTGTAGAAGAAGAGATTATGAAGAAGAGACAGCAGAAGCGAAAACAATCGGCAAACAACAAAGAAGTATCACCCATGGCCTGGCTGACCAACATCTTTTATAAAAGCAGCAGCAGTACTAGTAATAGTAGTACTTCTCATCTTGTCTCTCCTGTTTTGGATGACGATGAAACCCTTGTGCGCAGTCATAAGGATGATCCTTTATTGTCGCGTTCTAATCGTCGTGTGGTCACTTATAGATACAAGACAGCGTCTCCTGGTGTACCTATCGTACGTTCAAAACGTAGTTCACATCGATTAGATGAAGGTGCAATGCGATCAATGATGATCCCAACTGAAAATGTAAACAACACGAATAGGGATGTGCCAACAGTAAACCTGTCTTCAAGTTGGCTTGGTGGTAAATGATGATATCACACATATTGTTTCTTTATGTATATATTATAAACTTTTTTTTTCTTTTATATAAAAATAAATATGTGAATAATTGGTATGTTCAGCAAATGCAATGATGGCATATACATGTAATCAACGTACGCGTGCACTATAAAATAGTATCCTAAAAGTCATATTCATCATCACTATCCGTATCAGGCTCAGATGCCCAAACGTCCTCCTTTTCACGCTTCTCTATACATTTTCTGCATCTAGCCTTTTCAGCATTTCTTCTCTGAGACTATTTTCTCTTTAATATGAATTACTTTTATGTACAGCTTTATTTTACTACGTACCTTTGCGAATTTGTCCAAAGGTTGTCTCTTATTGCAAATCATACAAGTAAGGTGAGTGTTTTGTCTAGAGGTACATGACTTGCAAGTGACTTGCTTGGGTTTCTTGTTATAAGAAGGAGGAGCATAAGCTATAATTAGATGTTAATGGCACGATCAAAAAAAAAAAGTTGAGAGACTTACGATTAAAAGTGGCTTTAGAAATTTGAGTTTGAGAAAAAGCATCTAAAGGTTTGTCCTATAATCATGTATGAATAAACAAAATATTTTGTTTATTTCTTTTATTCTTACCGTGTTACAAAAGACACACCTCAGCTTTTGAAGCCTTTGATTGTCTGTCAAGAAAGAAAATGTTATATTGTGAGCAAGCTGTTGTAAGTAATCATATTTACTGTTTGCATTTGTAGCGCTATGAGGACTGTAGAACTTGTTAGTCTGCTGCAGATTCATAGCTAAAAGATGAAACGACAAGAAAGAAGAGAAGAAGAAAAAGGAAAAAGTTAAAATTCGAGACCCTTTATTATTCTGTAAAACAAGTCTAACTTCTACCTATAAATCTTTCTGCCAATCAAAATGCTCTAAATTAACTACAAACTTTACAATGATGATTGATAGTTGATTTATGTGGTGTCCCCGCTTGCAAATGTTGTGGAATGTTATGGTAACGTGATGTTGATGCTTCAAAAAATATCTTTATATTCTACAGGACATAGCTGCTTTAAGATTGGTATAGTACAGTGGTTTGCGTTTGAAATTCAAGAATTTCTCAGTAACCTCCTGGAGATTGTCAAGCGCTGGCAAGAAAAAGAAAACTTGAGTCAGTCTATGGTTCAATACTTGACGCTATCTACTCAAGAATTAATATTGGAGATCACAATAGACATTGAAAGAACTGGGTGGGGTGGTGCTTGTCCAGAAACCCGAAGAAGCATCTTTCCATTGCGATCCACCCTTAGTAATGGAATACCTTGCGTCACTAAGCTCACTTTTCTTGCATCACTTGAATGCGATCTGCTCGGTTATCGTCTCAGTGTATCGAGTCGTGTATTATTAAGAGCCTAGCTTGACTAACCGCACTTTGCTACAACAGTTTCTCAAGGCTAGAAAGCGAACAAGAGATAAGTTACCAAACAGAAATCAAGAAATCTTCGATATCGATCCCATATTGAATCTAGTAGAAAACTGGGATGCTACGAAGAATTTGGCATAAGGCCAACTGCAGAAGAAGACACTGGTGCTCTTAACAGTTGCAGCCATTTAGAGGCCGAGGTCAGATTTGGGAAATCTTCAACATCGAGATGTTACCTTCATAGAGTTCGAGGGCGATGTAATCGATGCTACATTCGTTGCACGTCAACCAAAATAAATCCAGTTAAAAGCAAGTAAGATCGGTATAACGATGAACGAGAATCTTTGCTCTGTGTAAACTCTGCATGCTTTTATCCAGCGGACATTCCACATATGCCATAATTTAGAAGACAATCACACACTCTTTTTGGCTCATATCGCACACGATATGTACGGAGCAAGATTAGTTAAACCCAAAATGATTAACGTATGGTTGAAAAAAATTATGAAGATGGAAGGAATCGACACACACGATTCAAGGCATATTTTCTCCGTTCCACATCAAGCACCAAAGCAGGCTATGGCTGGTGTTCCTATTGAAAACATCAAATTGCATGCCAACTTGAGTTTAAACAACTCAAGATTCGAAGACTACTATTACAAGCCAGAAGATCATCACATCAAAGGCGCTACGATTATGAACACGTCCTTTGGAAACGTTACCAAGAAGATAGCCACATCCGAGGTCGATTGAAGGCAGCGACAATTGTGGTAGGCACGACCCACACTAATTTTTTTTCCAAATCGTGAAAAACATGAACTTATAAGCTAGACGTTCAATACCTGAAAGAGGTTTTGCGCAGCCTCAGCCTTCTTTAAATTGTTCAAGAAATTCAGGACAGAATTACACTTTTTCTTTATTAGTTTTATTTACAATACTTTAGAATCCTGAACGAGGCATCTTGGTGTCTTGAAGATATCCGTTTTCTGTTTGTTTCCTCTTTCTGGGTTGATCACCATTCAAGGTCAACTCTGGTTGAACCTTGGGTAATTTCTCTGGAGATGTGGGTAAAGGCACATTCTTAAAATAAGAATGCTTCAAGCATTCTTCAGCCGTCCATCGCTTGTTTGGATCAAAAACAAGCATTTGTTCCAATAAACTGAGTGCATCAACACCAGCAGCTGTGAAATATTGACGTAGTGGCACCTTTGGAAACACTTTAAATGGGATATAATCTGGTAATGCTGTCATGCCTGGCCAGTCAGCCTCAGTGGGTGTTCCCAGCGCATGGAATATCTTTGTAAGTTGATCTATATCTGATTCTCCTGCAACATAAGGTGTTCTCAACATGAGCTCTGCAAATATACATCCTACTGCCCAAATATCTACAGCATATGAATATTCTTTGGCACCAAATAAAAGCTCTGGTGATCGATACCATCTATATAACCGAATAAATGCCGTGCTCTATACTACATTGATATGTTGTACCTTGTTACTACTTGTGAAGTCATCTGTTTGCCTGGATCACCCCAATCGCGAGCTAAACCAAAATCTGCTATTTTGAGGGTACCATTACTGCTTATCAACAAATTGTTTGGCTTCATATCCTGTCAAAGCATATTCATCAATAACTATTCTTCTTGTTCTTTTACTTTACTTCTTTACTCTATGTAAAATAAAGTGTCGATGACAGTGATCAAGTCCTCTGAGGATCATCAGCATCCAACTTTTAATATCTGCTGGCATAAACAGAATACTCTTGTCTTTAATCACTTGTTCTAGATCAGATTCCAAATATTCCAATACTAGATTCAAATTGGTTTTATAGGAATAGACATCAATAAGCTAATAATAATTTACTACATTATGCATAGTTTTGAATGGGTTGAATTATACCTCAATCACATTAGGATGTCTTATTTCTTGTAGATATTTTACTTCACGAATAGCTGTGAGATCCATGCCATCTTTAAATTGACCCATTTTGATCTTTTTAATAGCTACTGTTCTACTCGTTGCTACTTCAGTGCCTAGGTTTATAGTTGTGAATATTGTGTGTGATCAAAGAGCTGTGATTATATAGATTACCTCTGTAGACAACAGCATAGGTACCTTCACCTACTTTAGCATCCTTTTGGTACTTTTGAGCGATAACGGGAGCATCTTCCTCGTCTGAATCCATTTTATAATAAAATCTGGAAAAAAAAAAGGGAGAGCCGTAGTGTTTGTTATTTCAAATTTAAAGAATAGCCGAAATAAAGCACTCTGCGTACTATAGACAGCACATAAATGAATAGTAGAAGTAGCAAGTATTTATTATAAGCCAATTATTGCTTATCCTTAAAAGAGCTTACATGTTAATTCCCTTTAAAGAAAGCCTGTTATGACAATACAATTATTCATAAAGTATCCAAGTTATTCGATTTACCTATTTAATCAAGATAAAAGTCAAAGAAAACCTCAAAACCTTTTAGCTTCTCTTTAAGTCTAAGTGAATATGTATGATCTTTCATTCTTTCTTGCAATAAAGCCTTTAAATGTATAATGTATATGAAGAGATGCCTTGATCACTCTTTTGAGCATACATCTTAATTATCGCCTTTCAGAGGTTGATACAAGAAGATTACCAATTCCATTTTCTTCTCTTTCTAAGCCCAGCGTTCTACACTTTTTGCTTTATAAAAATCCTATACTTACAAGTATCCTCAAGTACATCGAACTAAGATCAAGCTAGGCTCATAGTTAACAAGCGAAGGTATATTCTCAATAGCCTGCTGTATTAAAAAAAAAAAAAAATGGTGACACTGTAGCTTATTTTGTATGTGTAAATTATCTTCTACCTCTTTTTCTTTTTTTTTTCTTATTAAGCATGTCATTAAGCAGGCCAAGATTTTTTACAACCAACAAAAGGGGTAAGACAACATAAGCATAACTAGAAATAACCATAGACATAGAGAGAAAGGGGGGGAGATACCACGACAATAGTATCTTCCCCTTTCGTAATTTTGAAAGCAATTTTCTAAATATACTTCATCAATAGGCGAGAACTTTGAGCTCAAATCTGAATTGAACAGCGAATATCGTCATCATCGCAAGGATGCTGTTAAAAAAGTTATTGCCAATATGACAGTGGGCAAGGATGTCAGTGGATTATTTCCTGATGTATTAAAGAATATGCAGACAGAAGACCTCGAGTTAAAGAAGTTGGTGTATCTTTACTTGATGAATTATGCTAAAACACAACCAGAATTAGTCATTCTCGCTGTTAACACGTTTGTAAAGGTAAAGCAAGGTATGAAAAATGGCTGTCAACATGATCTCAATTGTGTCCATTAGGATTCAGATGACCCAAACCCTTTAATTAGAGCTTTGGCCATGCGTACTATGGGTTGTTTAAGAGTAGATAAAATTATCGACTACTTGACCGAACCTCTTCGTAAATGTTTAAAGGTACATATTATACATGTATCTTGTACCTCTTTAACACTTAAAAAAAAAAGGACGAGAATCCATATGTTAGAAAGACAGCTGCTGTCTGTGTTGCCAAGCTTTATGATCTCAACCCAACATTAGCGATAGAACAGGATTTTGTCAATATGGTTAAGGATATGATAGCCGATGTGAATCCTATGGTCGTCGCAAACGCTGTGATTGCCTTATCTGATATGAACGACGCTACACCTGGTAAAAACATTTTTGAAATCAATTCCAACATCGCAAACAAGTTGCTTCATGCGTTGAATGAATGCACAGAGTAAAGAAAACAAAAAGACGAGCCATATTATACTTGTACTAATTCACTCGAGTCAGATGGGGTCAAATAGCTATCTTGACAGCCATTGGAGACTATAAAGTAACAGATAGTAAAGAGGCTGAGAGTATCTGTGATAGAGTTATACCTAGATTGCAACATGCTAATGGAGCAGTCGTGTTGGCTGCTGTAAAAGTAAGCTGTAGAAGAAAGAAAGACGATAAAGTACTTATGCTCGTGTTAGGTATTGATGATCAACATGAAATATGTTAAAGAAGAGTCCTTTATCAAGTCTATTTGTAGAAAAATGGCCCCTCCTTTAGGTAATTCATCTTTGAATTTTATATATAATTGTATACTCATCTTGTTTTAGTTACCTTGCTTTCAAGTCCTCCTGAAGTTCAATATATCGCACTGCGTAACATCAGTCTAATCTTGCAAAAAAGACCAGAAGTACTTAGTAATGAAATCCGTGTGTTCTTTTGCAAATACAATGACCCACCTTATGTGAAATTGGAAAAGCTTGAAATTATGATAAAGCTATGTAACGACAGAAATGTGGATCAGCTATTGAGTGAACTACGAGAGTGAGTAGCAAAGAACTGTTGATTGATTGTATGTTGATCATGTGTGTGTGTATAGATATGCAAATGAAGTCGACGTGGACTTTGTTCGAAAATCTGTACGTGCAATTGGTCGATGTGCTATCAAGATTGATGAAGCTGCTGAACGCTGCATCAACGTATTACTGGATTTGATTAATACTGGTGTGAGTTATGTCGTGCAGGAAGCCATCGTTGTCATCAAGGTAAAGTAGTGCTACAGGGAGAGAAATGATAATTTGATGTTCATACCTCTATCTAGGATATATTCCGTAAATACCCTCGCAAGTATGAAGGAATTATTCCTACCTTGTGTGAAAATCTCGAGGCTTTAGATGAGCCTGAAGCCAAGGGTTCATTAATTTGGATCATTGGTGAATACGCTGAAAGGATCGATAATGCAGACGATTTGTTGAACGTTTTCTTTGATAATTACCATGAAGAAAACTCTCAAGTAAGCATTGTGCGATAATTGACTATTCGGTTTGCTAAGTTCTTTTTATACAAGGTACAACTTCAATTGTTGACGGCAACAGTGAAATTGTTTTTGAAAAAGCCCAACGAAAATCAAGAGTTGGTTCAGCGTGTCCTACAGACAGCTACAACAGAATGTGATAATGCTGATATCAGAGACAGAGCATATATTTATTGGCGTTTATTGTCAACAGATCCTCAGGCAGCTAAGGTAAGACCATTATCTCATATTATATATTCAACTCTATTTACGTTTCTTTAGGCGGTTATCTTGAGTGAAAAACCTCCTATTGCAGGTGAAAACGATGGGCTATCTCCTGCATTGCTTGAGACGTTGATATACGATATTGGTACATTAGCCTCTGTCTATCATAAGCCTGCTGAGACATTTGTTGCTGGAAAGAAGTTTGGTGCAGATAATGTAAACAAGACTCTTACTGAGTATGTTACAAAACAAAAGCTTATTCATTTCAATATAGACACGCCGAAGATGACGATGTCAATGCTCCACCTCCTCAAATACAAGCTGCTATCAAAAATAATGATATTGGTAACTTGCTTGATTTAGATTGGGACGAGCCTGCTGCTGAAACACCCAAGTCACCTGTCTCACCTGCACAACAGACTCAACAAGGATCACTTAATGACTTGCTATCCATTGGCGGATCTTTCTCAATGAGTCCACAGCCTGAGAACGCAAAACCTGTCACTAATACAAACGATATCTTGAGTCTATTCAATACATCACCCACTACTACTACTACTACTACTACAATAACAACTAGCATGAAGCCAGCCAACACTCAACCCGTCATGGATCTTACAGATGATCTGTTTGGAATCCCTACGCAGACTTCTACAACAAACACAGCCAATACACAGCAAAAGAGCCCAACAAAGGATCCTTTTATAGACCTCTTATGAGCGGACGTGTACAATTAAATCTTGAGCATAAAATAAATATCACTTAACTAGTATACATCAGTACATAGTAGATGTGCTGTAATATTATTGGAGCAGTATAGTTGATTCAAAAGGGGAGAGAGTTAATAACTTTATTTAAAAATTCAAGGTCATGTGTAATGACTCTAACAGTAACATACCCTCACTATTGTTTTTGCCACTGGAAGGATTAACTTCTGAATTTAAGGTGTGCTCTTCAGTTGTCAGAGATGATAGCTGGTTCCCGTAACACTCTTCCTTTTCTCCTTGGAAGTATTCGATTAATAAATCACTAGGCTTTGAACACATTTGAGAGCGCGATATAGTGTCGATGCAATCTAATGCTTTTGAAGATAGAGGTGCGTATAAGCATTGACCATGGTCATCCATATCATTATATGGAAAAGCCTGCATTTGTTTTGCTTTATGGGTGTCCATAAGTGACTGAAATGGTTCGACAATATCCAATTGTCGTTTTGTCGGATTGGTATTGTATAGTAAAAAAGAAGACGGCCGTGGGGATGCGGCAAGCAGATAAGTCGTGAGGTAAGGAGTTGACATGTATGAAGTAGTATACTCATTCACTGTGCTGCGATGAGCCATCTCTTCCGGATAAGGGATATTAAACGTAGGGTAAGGGTTTAAAAGTTGAGGATAGTAAGGCGGGTATAGACCAGTGATAGCATTCAAACTATGAAAGTCATCTAAAAACGAGCCCTCTGTTCTGTTATAGCTAGTAACAGATTTCATATTGTCCGAGTTTTTAAAGCTCACTGCATGATTACCTTGATCCATTGTTATAGTAAGCATGAGATCTTTATCAAAAGGAGTACAGTTTTCGACTGCTGAATCAGTCGCACCGCTACTGACAACTTTTACATCGCCTTCTGCAGGACTCATACTCCCTCTCTTGGCTCTCTGTCTTCTCTTATGCTTCGCCCTTCGATTCTGAAACCAAGTTGTGATGATCTTTCTTGGCGTGTTGATACTGCTAGCAATCTGTTGTATCCTTTCCTGTGTAGGGCTTGAATTTTTATCGTACTCCGATTCTAAGATGCGAGCTTCTTCAGCTGAGAATCTTCTACGGTGTTTGATCGGTGGTACCCATGGGTCGTCATCCAAGCGGTTCATACGCAAAGTAATTCTAGGTTTACTCTTTGATTCGTTCATGAACTCGTTTTTCTAAAAGAGAAGAATGAAAAGGGATACTCACATCATATGTACTATTTTTATAATGATCTTATTCATATAGGATTGAATCTCTTGATAGATTATAATTGAGGGGGCATTTAAGGGATAGCAAATAATAATGGGAAAACACTTGACGCTTAATGGCGTTAGTGATGCATAACCCAGAAATTTATCAACCTGCAGCATTTTTATTTCTTGTGGGAATTGACATTGGGTATGAACAGGATAAACCTATCGAAAAAAAAGGAGGTCTTTAGACAATAGTATCTGTTCTTTCCCTAGCGAGAGCGCCTAGCAGTTGTTTCCATAGTTTACAAAGTAGGCTTGACCATATCCAGGAAAAAAAGAGCAGATATGTGCCTAAAAATAAGCCCAGAAGTAATAGACAGATGTACACTGTAATAGGCTTTATTTGCTTGGGTATGGCATTGTGTCTATATATGCAATCCAGATTTATATGCAGAATATTAGCTATCATATCAGCTGTTCGACGAATACCTATCACTAAGCAAACACCAATTATGTATACTAATCCAAGCATAGCTTGTCCTGCAAAGGCCGTAGAGTAATGAACGATATCCAACCACACCGCAATTTGTAACATCTCTTGATCATGCCACGTTTCGTCTCCATCTATTTTGGGTCCTATTTCACTTCCTAAGGCCAGTTCGTCCAAGGCCCTTCCTAACTGGGAAAGACCAAATACGAGGCCGATAAGAGAAAGGAAACTGAGTAGATGGCAGGTAAATGTAGAGAGCGTTGCGAGAAAGACACACTTTTTAGAAGGATAAATATAGTTACATGTTCTGCAAACATAGTCTGTGTCATAGCGTTTCAAGCATGCTGGATGAGCCTTTTGTAAACATGGACAGGTCGTGACAAAGTCTGGTTGATTCGATTGCATCATGTATGGACCTATAGCTTTTGTTCTATCTAGGCTATGGCTGTTGCAAATGCAGCAAACAAATTCACAGGCATCGTGATTGTTTGGCATAGCATGAGTAGAACGATCTTTATGTATTCTTTTTGTGTAAGGCGGCAAAAAGTCTGTGGATGGTGTTTTCATTTATAAAAGAAACAAAACTCATTATTTTTTTTAAAAAAAAAAGAGAGAGAAGAGTAGCTATCTGTTATGTAAGGAGTAATAAAAGCGACCGTCGTCCTTTTTAGCAATTTCCCCTGATTCCCAAATCATTTATGCATAAAAACATTTATACTTAAAAAGGAGAAGAGGAAAGAAATCAAAACCTTCCAGTGTTTCCGTTGGATTTTATTTTTTTTTTAAAAAAAAAGAGATCTTACATAACTTGCTGTTTTACTGTAGTAGAGCAACGCCTGTCCCTCTTGCTTAGCTATACAATGTGTTAGTTTATCTTTATTGGCTCGAATGAACTTTACATACCGAACAAGTTGTGCACCAGGGATACAATCTTCCCGTCGAACTGTCTTCGTGCACAGCTGCTCCTGAATCCAGCAGTTTATTGCAACCTGTGCAAGACAGACATTTCTTGTGCCACCGTGATGCCTTGGGGCCAGGTATTTCTTCATGAACTGAAGTTATACGCTCGTTACACCTTGGACAAGCACGAACAATGCCAAAACGGGGCAGTGGCTTTTCTCTAGAGCTCATTAAAGATGAAGGTTTTACAAAAGATGTAATATGGCGACTATAGGGTGAGCAAGGTGCGGATGCAGGCATCCTTAAATAGTGCTCTACTGTTTTATATTCTGGTCCACTCCCAGAAAACTCCTCATTATCTTCATAAAGAAGTGTACCCTTTGGGATAGCCGGTCGTGTAGCTGGTATAGACTGAGGAAAAGGTACAATCCTCATATGCTTTGAAAGTAACTCTTGATCTTGTGGTAGCTCTGTGGCTGTACATTGTTGACAAAATGCTCCATTCATGTCGGTATACATGACTGATGGCTGTAAAACTTTGTTGCAACAGGTACACTTGAAGCACTATATGATGCAATTAATACGTTTCTATCCTATATGTATATTCCATCACACTGACCTTCACATGCAATGTAGAGCTATTTACTACAATATAGCTTTCAATGATAGGCAGTGAGCATTCCGAGCAATCCAGTGAAGATGGCATAAACAGTGCACACTATAAAAAATATTAGATTATACCAAAATAAGGCTCTTTTTGTGTGTATATACTTTTGGATGATATATTTTCTTTAGAGGATCGATTACAAAAGATGTGTTATCAAACAATCCTTTACAGCCTTCACATCTTAGACAGTTCCAGTGATATCTTTCTTGAGTATCAGGCAATCTGACCAATTTCCCAGATAATTTCTGATTACATTCTTGACACACCTTTTCATCCTTTATTGGTTGTTCGATCTGAATTTGCGACAGACGAAATAGATCTTTGGACTTTAGTTCCTGTAGTTTTGCTCTCCTGTGATCTAACAAAGTACTCAATGGCCTTTCTTTAAACGTTGCTGATTTATTTGAAATTGCTGATAAAAACCGAGGTTGATTTTCATCAGCTTGCTCCTGTACTGGCGAAACCAGGTTTCTTCGCCCAACAACACTATTTAGGTACCTAATCTCGAATTTTAGTTTTTATTCATGGTAAACAGGTAAAATGTTACCTCGACTGCCATCTATCCACGATACCTGATTTGCTTACGTCTGTTACTTTTTTTAAAAAGCGTCATTTAGTCAATAGTACGGAGAAAAATAAAAATGTACCTACAGGTCGTCTCAAATCCACACTTTTTACATTTTTCATTATGAGAGAGCTCTCCACAGCGACAAAAGGGCATTTTAGAGTAAGTCTTGGAAGAAGAGTCTTTTATTCAAAATTCGCCTAGTAAGTTAGTCTCAGGATTATTTATATATATTTTAAGAGAATATTTTGCTCAAGATTGCATATTGAACTGATCCAAGTCATTTTACTGAATAAAGAGAGACATCCTTTTCTATTACAGCATAAACGTTTATTAAAAGAGCAAGGCCCTCTTTTTTTGTAACGATACATCTTTATATGTTAGCCATTCTGGTATCACAAATGGTTTTAGCAAGGCAGATGGTGGACAACTCAGTCTATGCTGTAACTGTGAGTCTAACAGAAGCTGATATAGCCAAACAGAGTCTGGTTGTTGCCTTGATAATGAATCAAAAAGTGCCATACAAAGGTCCTTTAGCTGTAAATGAATGTTGGAATAAGAATAGTAAAATTTGGTTTCTTCCAAGATTTCTTTTGCCAATGGTTGCTTTACGGGTACATACTTGAGTATATTCGCTAAAGATTTCAAGACACAAGATTGGGTACGATGATAAGTGGAGTAAATTGAATAGTTCTTTGACGTTGCATTAGCCATTGATACATCAGATCCTTTTCGTAGCAAAGCTTTAAACTGAGGCCATATGGATTCAGCGAATTTTCTTGATAGGAAATCAGTTGATACAGCCGAGATCTTTTCAATAAAGATGGCCGCATGGTACACTACATAGTTTTCTTTATCGCCAAAGCGATTCATAACATAGGGCCAAATTTCATGCGATTGCATGTTGAGCGTCTTTGGTTGATTTGCTAATACAGACACTCCAGAACTGAGTAACTGTAGTATCTGTGATCGAAGCTGTGCTGAAGGTGCTGTTAAAAAGTGACTACATTTCTTCATAATATCTACAACCATCGTTTGTTGATGCGTCAGTGGTGCTTCTTCCTTTTCATCCTCTTGTTCCTTCTTTTCATGTTTATAACCTTCTCCTTCTTTGATTGCTTGCTTCAAAGTGATCTCTTCGTTTGTTTCCTGCTTTTGTCTGTCCAAAAAGTATTTTCCAATTTCTTCCATTGTTCTGTAGGCGTCGTCCATGTTTCCCATTGTATCTTGTTCGTAAATAAAAGAGTAAATTTCCTTGCTAACCATAGGTTGTTCATAAACCTCAGCGCCTTCTGATTTTGGGCTTGCGTTTCTTTCTTTATCTGGAAGGAAATCTTTTTCTACTGTTTGAACTATTTCTAACAATACGCCACAAAGCCCCAGACATAACTTTTGATCATGATGATGTCTGTCAAGAGCATCACATATCTCTTCTACAATATCGTCAAGGTATTTTATGCAATCTGAGCCGCTAATATGAATCAAAGCCTTCAGGACGAGTGGCACTCGAGATTGAGATGATAAGACAGCAATGTGATGGGATACTGAGTTGATCACATAGTCAATGTTTGTTATGGCCAACTCTTTGGCATCGCTTAACCCGCAAGCTATGGCTATTATATTTAGTGTGATAAGCGCGTATGTGTGTATATAAAGATTAGATGACCCTAAATGCGCTAATAAAGGATATAATGCGGTGATGAGTAGATCTTGCAGATCTTCCATATCGATAACCGATGTGGCTAAACCAATCATCTGTAATCCAAAACAGATAGTGAGAACATAGGAGCTGTCGTCGGCATGTTCAGATGCTCCTGATTTTATGATGGATGTCTCGACGTTCGTAGATTCAGAAGCAGAGAAAATAAGCAAGTTGATAATATCATTTGTCACTTGATTGACGATCGTCTTTAAAGAGTCTGTTGTTTCCAGTGCTTGATCGTCATAATTTATCCAATTCTCTACATCATTTTCTAATTGATGACTTGTTGCAATAGCACCTTGTAATAATAAATGCACAATGTAGATGGATTGTGGCTCATTGTTCCCAAGATTATCAGTCGACACATAACGCATATAATGATGCACCCAACTTTGAATGTTACAGTGTCTTCCTATCGTATTGAGCATTTTGCACAGTTTTTCTACTACAGAATCACTGACAATATGTTTGAACCGTATCTTTGGATACAGTGGTGTTGTTTGCTTCATATCATCCATGTCAATATATTTTTGATTGAACTTGCCTTCCAACACATGTAAACTGTCCTTATCAATTTCTAGTGCGGTCATCCAGCCATCTGAACACTTGGCTAACACGGTCGAAAGAACGCCCTCTGCTTCATGGCCAAGTGTCAAGACAAGCCCAGCAATGAGTGATATAATTTCTGACTTTTCCTGCTCATCTCTCGCCATGATGTATTTCGGAAAGTTCATCATCCATTCATAAAGCTCGTCCTTCAAGATTGGCATTATAGTACTGTCATAAGATGTATTAGACGACAGGTTCTGTATGTATATCATACATTTATTAGATATCTGTTCATAAGGGTCATCACGATAAGACACCATAGCTCGTATAAGCGATCGAGTGCAGCTGTCCAAAGTGCGTGAACAGGTTGAAAGTATCAAGTATGAAAATTCCAGGTACGCTAATCTTGTTCGCCACTCTGAAGATGACCGATTCTTCAGGACAACGTCTAATAGAGGTGCTAAACTGGCCTTATTCTTCTCATACCACGCTTTAACTCTCACTTTACCCATGCTCTTTGTTGCCTCGTTCTTTTTCGACCCATGATAAATAGCCAAATCCTGGAGTGTGTGTATTTCAGCCAAGTTCTCATTATCTTCATCATTCATCACCACGCGAATCAGCTCTCCTAGAATGTGTAAAGTTGTCACTACGACCTGATACTTCTCTTTCTCCGGTTTTCGAATCAACGTCGTGCATAACTTTGAAGCAACCCCTGGGAACAGCTTAGCGATGCTGTCAGTATCGTATATGTTGTCAATCAAGTACTGATCAAGAGCCGTCAGTGCATCCACTCTCAATTCCATCTTTTGGTCGTGTTCGATTATATCAAGCAGTCCTTTAATACTTTGTGATGCTGCTGGCAAAAACGATTCTGCTCTAATAGTTGTCGCCAAAAGGAAATTGGGCGATGCTTCAAAAGAACTGTATCTTCCTTCCCTATATTTGGCTGGTAATGCAGCGGATATGCATCTTACAATCAGGTGCTTTACTTCCTCAGAGCATGGAGCTTGTTTGTTGTTTTCATCGCGGTATATGAGAATACCAAAGAAGATCAAGATCTGCTTTGTAAACTCGGGTGCCATTAACTGCTTGATTAGCGTTTTGTTTAGAATTTGGTACATAATTTTTAATGCTGGTTCCATAATTGTGTCAATGTGAATTCGTTTCTGGATGATTATGGATCGTAAGAGGTGTAGCATGGTCATCACTATATCGCGCTTGTTATCTGGTTGCAAGCTCAAGTCATGGTCAGGAAGGGTATCTAAGAATGAATGGAATTCGTTCAAGAGTAGAGCAAGTTTCTTGATATTTTCATTTGATAGATTAGAGGATAAAGTATGAACTGATTCTTTAAACGAGTCTATTCTCGCCTTGTATTCATCACAATGAGCCATCAAAGCAGGATAAAAAAGAGTTTAAACCCAGTTAGTCAACAGAAAATATGTTTCTCCTCAATAAGCCGCTGCTCTTTTTTTTTTTCTTCCTTTTTTTCTCTCAAAACCAATCTTTAAGATTGCATTATATCAAAGTGGCGAACCCTCAAGAGAATTCCGCAACCAACCCTCCTTGGTAAGTTCAATTTCAATTTATATCATGTTCGTTGAAACTTATTCTTGATAGGTCAAGCAATAATCAGCAGCCATGGCGTTCATATCCTCAGCCTGTAGCACATAATCAGCAATACGCTGCTTATTATCAACAATATGCAGCACCTAATGGCTACTATCCACATTATTATCAGCATAGTAATACACCTCCACCTCCAGGCACTACAACGGAGGCTCCACCAGGAGTAGGAGCTAACAACTATGGATACTATGGATATTACTATCCACCCGCTAGTAATGCTACCACTGCACCTCCAGGTATGCAACAACAACACCCTTCTGCTTATTATTCTCAGTACAACCAATATCAATATAATCAGCCGCCAGGCACTTATTCATACTCACAACCTCCAAGGTACGTAACATCCTTTTTCCTTACTCCCATTTTAATGTTTTTCTTTATAGACCTCCTCCACCCACCACTAATTCCGAGGCTAATGTGAACGCAGCGACATCTTCTGCACTAACTCCAGGAAGTAAGTGATAATCTGGTTTTCTTTGTTTGAAACAGAGAATTAAATCTTTTTTGTGTAGGACCTTTTCAAAAAATTCCTCCTTGGTCTAAACAGCCAGTAGGAGCCGTAGCAGCAACTACTAACTTGCAAACTAGTGTTCAACAGCAAGCCATAACAAAACCAGATCTGGCATCACAGCAACAACAACAACAGCAACAGCAACAGCAAAAACCAAAACAACAACAACAACAACAAAAGCAACAGCAGCAGCAGCAACAACAACAGCAGCAGCAAGCGCAAGAGACATCAGGACAAGCTCCTGAAGGAAAAAAGCAGGCCACAGCCGCCCTTTCATCAGCGGAATCGTGGCCACCTTCATTACAGTAATAACCACACATTCGATATTACAGCATTGATATATAACTTTTTATATATAGACAATATGTCCAAGATGTCTTTGCCAACTGCTTACCAGGAAAAAGGGACGAGGCTGAATTACAGTTACGCAACTTGATCTTGGAAAGTCATAAAGCAGGCACATTGTTGACAACAGACTGGAGCGAAGTAGATTTACCAAGGTAAAGCAACCTTATACATGGTGTTTCCATAGATAACCTTTTTTCTTTTAATTTTAGCGCTTGTCTTCCTTCAAAGAAAAAAAGAAAGAAGTAAGTTATATTTTATGCGCATTGTTCATCTGGTTCATTCTTTTTTTTTTTAGTAATAATAATAATGGTAGTATTAGTGGTAGGAAGAAAGTAAGCCTACAGACACAAAAGCTGAGCAGTGAGGAAGAAGCAAAGAAATTAAGACGACTACGACGATTTGAGGAAGATGCTGCGCAATATAAAGCTGAAAATATGTCCTCAACTATGCAGCAAATGCATTTGGTAAATATAAGAAAAAGAGCACATCTAGCCAAACTAACTTTTATTTTAAGGATGGACCACTGGTGAGTGATACAATTATAGGTACTTCGACTAAATTAGAGAAGCAATATTTACGATTGACTTCTGTAAGTATTAAATTGTCAACTTTTTTGCTTACACTAACTTTGATTAAAGGCACCTGATCCTTCTACTGTGAGACCATTACATATATTGAAACAGACATTGCAATTATTACGAGATAAATGGAAGAGTGAGCAAAATTATACTTATATCTGTGATCAATTCAAATCAATGAGACAGGACTTGACTGTAAATAAATATCAAAAGAGTATAGACATCATCCATTTAATGCAATATCATTAGGTTCAACGCATCAAGGATGAGTTCACAGTGCAGGTATATGAGATTCATGCTCGAATAGCTTTAGAAAAGGCAAGTGAGTGATAATTGTGTGCTAGACTAGTAATAACATGTAAAAAAAAGGGTGATTTAGGAGAATACAATCAGTGTCAAACACAGTTGAGAGGACTCTATGCATCCAAGATACCCGGTAATGTGATGGAATTTACAGCATACCGCATATTGTACTTTTTACATACACAAAACTGGGCAGGTAAGATATAAGGAAAGTAATTAAGGGATGAAGCTGACGCTCTTGAAGATGTCAATTCGGCTATGTCAGAACTAACAGGTGAACAAAAGGAAAATGAATTTATTCAACATGCGCTACAAGTACGTTCTTCTCTTGCTACGTCTAATTATCATCGATTCTTTTATTTATACAAGACAGCACCAAATATGGGTGGTTATTTAATGGACCAATTTGTAGAAAGAGAACGAGTACAATCATTATTGATCCTATGCAAGGCGTAAGTTGATACAAATTGAACAGGTGATCTCTTTACTAACTTATATCATTTTAGTTACCGTCCAGATCTTTCCCTAGACTTTATTCAAAATGAGCTAGCATTTGAATCAAGAGAAGAGCTGATAAAATTTCTAAAAGAACAGAACGCACTCTTCCTAAAGGCTAATAATTCAGACTTTTTAGATGTTAAATCAGCACTCGGTAGTTTAACGGAAAGCGTGAAGAAATATAAAAAGATTGATATCAAAGGTCAAGTGTATTAAATAAATAAAAAGACCAAATTCTGTACACATACAGTTTTTTCTTCTCGTGATCTTTTATTCAAAAAAGCGATGATAGAATAGTACAAAAGCTCTTTTCAAGCAGTAATGGTTCAAACAGAATATATGCTAAACATTTATATTTGGAGGCATAATGACTGAACCAACACACAGATTGAATGTACTTTTCTATTAACTGTATATAGTCTTTTCTCTTTTTCTCTGCTTCATTAAATAGGCTATTTGTATATATTTATTTATATATGTACAATGTGCCATCAGATGACACATAAAAATAAAATTTATTTATTTAAGAGTGCTGACAGAATCTTTTTCTATCAACAACCCCCGAAGCCACTTGATTTCTTGTTCTAGCTCGTGAACGCGATTCTGTAAGGCCTCTGATTTTTCTGTCATTTCCTTTACAGTCTCTTGCATACTCTGTTCTCTTTGCTTCTTCTTTATACGAAATCTTGCACTTGCTGCCGTATTTCTTTTTCGCTTGTCTTCATCAACAGCGTTCTTTTCTTTATTATCGATCACTTTTGATGATTTATTATTATTATTAGACTTTTGCGTAACTGTTGTATCTGGAGTCATAGGCGACAACAGAACTTTAGCAAGATCGTCAAGTGACACTTTTGGTAATAAAGGTTGATGATGTGTTGTATGACTCAAGTTTTCAGGAGATACAGTGATATTTCTAAACATTGGTGCATAGTCAATCGGAATGGGTGGCACTTGAGTCAAATAACCGTATGCCATGTTTTCATTATTAGGACTATTGTTGCTACTACTACTGCTACTATCAGGGCTTTTATCGCCTTCTGGTGATTGTGCTGTTGGCGGCTTTATATCATATGTAAATTGTGCATTCGTCTATATAGATTTTTATTAGTTTGTTGTCTAGTCATATCGTTGTACACACACATACCCATAGATTTAAGTCATTTTTTGATATGGCTTCAGGCTCAATAATAGGATCAAGTATTAGAGAATCGATCGGATTGGTATATGGAAGAGAATAAATATCAGACATTTTAAAGAGAAAGAAAAAGAGAAAGAAGCCAAATGGAAGATTGAATTTATAATGATCCAATCAGCGGAGGTGGGGTCGAGAAGCGATCATGGATATCTTGCCTGATTATTAATTCATATGTCTTTGTGGCTTATGCAACCCTAACGTCAATCTTTTCCTTTAATGATGCAATACGACGAAAGCAAGACCCTTTTGTACGTTATCTTTGCTTACATACAAAAGAGAGGAATGGTTAATTTCTATATACTCTCTCCCCCTTTTCTTTCTTTCCTTCACTATTACATGTCTTTTTGCTCAAGAGATAACAAGAAACCCAAAATACCCTTGAGAATGACAAATTGAATAATCTCCTATTGGCAGGATTTTAAAACGTGTGTACAGAGCAAAGGGTTACACTGTTATCTAAAAGCGGTGGTTTCTATGCAAAAGGTGTCAAATTGGTTTATTTCTTAGGCTTGAATGGAGAACTTAAAGTATCCCAGATATTACTAAATACGGCTGTCCATGATGACGTTCTGGCTAAGGTAGGCTCTTGCTCTTGTTTCGGTTGCTCAGCTTCTTCCATAACTATATCCTCCTCTTCTTTTTCTTCTTGTACTATTATATCCTCTTTTACTATTACTTCTTTCTCTACACTTATACTAATATCCTTTGTATCCTTTTCTATTTCGATCGTTTCTGTAGGGACATTTTCTACAATGTCAGTGGCATTCTCTGGCTGTTGCTCTTCTACTTCTTGAGGTACTCTATACACAATGTCAATATTTCCTTTATTTTTTATTGTATTTTTTCTTTCTTACTGCTCAGGAGCCTCTAGCGCTTTAGTAGCTAATTCTATAGCAGCCTTTTGCTCTTTTGATAAATGGCGAGTTGAGACATGTCGCTGTTGGTAATAGTGAGTGTCATCGTGGGTAATTTAATTCTTTCTTTTTTACCACTTGGATTTCTCTGGCTTTTTCTTTGATACTTTCACATATACGCTTGATCATTGTTGCATAGTGACTGAATCCTTCTCCTTCAGATATAGCTAAATGCTCTACGATTAGATTTAATATAAATATACAAGGACAAACAACTAACCACGTGGTAGATCACGGCATCCCGTATAGATAATCAAGGGCGAGCTTGAATCACTATTCAACTTTTCAATGGCCACTGCTGTTGCCTTTAATATAGATTAAACTAGACGTACTTGATAAAAAGAAGCCACTTACAAGCACATAAACATAATCCAAGTCGCGAACACGGTGTTCATTACCACACAAAGCACTAAAATTGCGCTCATCGTCTTCACCATAATAAATAGTATATGAACCACGTCCATCGATAAAAGCAGCACCTATCCATATCTGATCCTTTGCCTGGTAGCACAGTTAATATACCATCTTCTTGCTTTAAAGAAGGAGGGGGTAGAGTTACCTCAACAACTGGTGTTTCCTGAATATTGGTAAAATCTTCATCAATATCGTCTCCTATAGTCGATAACAATAAGCATTCGTTTATTGTATATTTTACTGTATTACTTTTAATAGCAGTCTTGGATTGTTTCTTGCTAGGCTTAGTCGTCGTTGTCTTTCTCTTTCTCTTTTTTGTTTCAGTTACAGGAGCTTCCTTTTCGCTACCGTCATTGCTCATCTTGCTTTTTGGCTCTGTCTTACGGGTTGTCTTTCTCTTTTTCTTATCCTTTGAGACTGCCTTATCATCTTCTGGAAACTGGATGAAAGTAGGAACGCGGGTGTCTTTTGTCGATTGGACCATGTCAAGTTGTGAATAAACAAAAAAAAGGGGGAAAATAAAATATAAAATTTTTTTAAAACACAGGCCAAAAACAAACACACGCCGGCAGTAATAGAACAAAATTTTATGCGTGCGAAGAAGCAACGGTTGAAATTTAGTGTGATGATATCATACAAAGCTAACCCTTGTGGATATAAAAACCATACTTTTTCTTTTTCTTTTTCTTCTTTTTTTCTTTTAAACAAATCATTGCATTAATTTATCATGACTTCTTTAAGACAGCTTAGAACAATGGCTACACGCTTGAGTGGTACGCGTGTATATAATCCCAGACTAAACCCCATTTGCCCCCAAACTACGTTTCGACGTGGATGTGTAGTGGAATCCACTGGCGCTAAAGGGTCTCATCCTTATATATGGTTAGGTAAATAGTATATAAGAGAATAAGAATTGGTGTATTGAATTGTCCTGCGGTCAGGCTTGTTCACCTTGGGCGGTGGTGCAGTCTATTATCACATACAAAGCAAAACATCCAAGATATCTGATAAAACGGTAGAAAATGACAAGAATGCGCCCAAAGGAAAAGAAAGCAAACCGATTCCAGAAAGTAAAAAGGAAGAAGACAGATTAGATAAAGGAAAGAATATTGACTATCAAGCCGTTTATAATGACATTGCTGCTCTTTTGGACTCTAACCCTGAGTAAGTACATTACCTGTTGACCATATGATTTTCTCTAATAAAAATAGATATGATGATGGTTCTTATGGTCCAGTCTTACTGCGTCTCGCGTGGCATTCATCTGGCACGTACAATAAGGAAGATGGAACGGGTGGAAGTAATGGTGGTACTATGCGTTTCAGAGCAGAAGCTACTCACAGTGCTAATAATGGACTTGAAATCGCTCGCAACTTGCTTGAAAGCAAGATTAAACCCAAATATCCAGATATAAGCTATGGTGATCTTTATACATTGGGAGGTGTAGTGGCTGTTCAAGAACTGGTAAGCTCTCAAGCGTGCTTTTATGCAGTATGTCAACATATATTCTATCATAGGGAGGTCCTACAATCAAATGGCGCCCAGGTCGGCAAGATTTAGGTGAAAATAAATGCACACCAGATGGAAGACTTCCTGATGGATCAAGAACCGCTGATCATGTTCGAGACATTTTCTATCGCATGGTAACTCTTATAAAGACTTTTATATTCACTTTAACTTATTTTTTTCTTCCTTCTTTTAGGGATTTAACGATCAGGAAATTGTTGCTTTAACTGGAGCCCATGTCTTGGGTAGATGTCACCTCGAACGTAGCGGATTTACCGGTCCTTGGCAAGAAGCTCCTACGTTCTTCTCAAATGAATATTTCAAGGTCATCGCATCGCGTGAATGGGTGAAGAAAGAACTTCCACATGGTTTATGGCAATGGGTCGACAAGGCAAATCCTGATGTCATGATGCTTCCTATCGAAATTACAATGTATAATGATAAGAAGTTCAGGCCTTACTTTGATCTCTACGCAAAGGACTCGGACAAGTTCTTTGAAGATTTCGCCAAGGCCTTCAAAAAACTAATTGAATTGGGTGTGCCATTTACTGGCAAAGAGAAGGAGTATGAGTTTAAGAGGGTTAATCAATAAATAAATAAAAAGCCATATGACATACAATAGCCCTTGTTATGCTTATTTTGCTAGCTTGCGTCATTGATTCTATGAATATCAATATGGCTTTATTTTCAAATCTTATTCAATGACTTTTTTTATCATTATTGTCATTTTTGCGCTCTAAGGAAAGCAAACTATATTGTTTAATATTAACACATTTGAAGGGAGAAAGAGCTACGGTTGCGGTCGACCAAAGATGCTTGTATCAAAATGACCTGTCCTTGTTGATTGAATCTCGTTTGTTGGATTTCCATTTCCAAGCAATAGTAGTTGTAGTTGCCTGATAGTCTCTTCTTGATCATCCGTAGCCGGTAAATGCACCCAATTAGCTTTATTTGGGTGATTGCCGAGAGCTACCTTGTTATCTACAATTGTCTTCACATTGCCTATAACCTTACACCACTCCGATTCAGGAATATTCAGACGGTGTACTTGCGATGTATCGCAGTTGGGAATCATGAGCTGGGTGCGTATATCGACATGATTGTGGAGATATTCTAGAATATCATAGCACGCGGCAGTCGCTGCCTTTTGTTTACTTGGACCCACACGACTGTGCGAGAAGATGGTCCCTGATTGAACTAATTGGCAAATGACAGTAGCCTGCCACATACTGTTTTCGGCGCCTTGTATATCAATTTGTATATTGCCTCCTGTCAACGTAAGAACATCTCGGATTTGGCTCTTGGGATCTTGATTTGGCACTGGCTTGAATCCTGGTTTTAAGGTCCTAACGGTAGTGGGGTTGCTGATTATTTCCTTTACACTAGGCTCTATAAACCCTCGAACAGCGGGCATTCCAAAGAAATGGTAAAGTACACTATAGGAACTAATGGTTCAAAAGAGTATCCCCGCATTTGTATAAGGGGTAACTTACCCGATATATGCATCGAATAGGTTTGAATGAGCCGGGATACCAAGGGATCTCTTAAGTTGCATCTGTCCAAAAATACTCTTGGATATTCGGCCTGGATCTTGACACTTTCTATTATGCTCTGTCAACGTTTCTAAATTAGCTTCGGGAAACATGCTGGAAATGATCCAACGAATGGCCATTGCTCGAGCACTTTCACCTAAGAATCGAAATCTCTTTTTTTTTTTTTGGTTAAGACGGACTATTCTACAATCATTCAGCATACCTCTGCAATAGGAGATTCATAGTTGAGTGTCACTTGAACGAGGTTTGGTAAAGCAGGTACAATAGGTAGTTTCTGTCCATATTGATCAGTTATATTTGAAAAAGCTTCACGCAAGAAATTCTCGACGTGTTTTTGCCTCTCACTGACGGCGTCCATTAGTATAAGCGATTGAGTAAATATGACACTCTAGAAAGAAGTTGAATAAAATGTTGACATGCGGTAGCTGTGGAATTTCTTGTTTAGCCAATCATCTTTAGGTTAAATCCAAAAAAGGGTTTAATTACTAGACAGCAAAAACTTAGACCTTTTCTCACATTGCCTGTCTTTTATGCGTTTTACTAGTAGTTATGCCTACCATTAGCATCAATAATTATTCTCATTACTTTAAATTACTATTATTATTCGCTTTACTAATGAGGGTAACTGAATAATATAACGTATTCGGAAATGATTTATTAGTTTGTACCCTGCATACTTTAACAACTTGTGTGGCTGCTAAAAAAAAAAGTACTAGGCTCCAAAGCATGAAGACGAGTAACCATTATCGTTCACTGTACTAGCTTACCAAAAGCTAACTTTTTCTGTCTATTTATAGAATGTTTCTTTTCCATACTAAAAACGCTCTACATCGTCGGCTCGCTATCCCAAATAGTGGCATTAGACTATTGGGCAGAACACAGCGCATGATTTCGGTGAGATTTTGCTTGACAGCCAGCAAAGAGTGCTAACTGTTCTATGGTAGAACAAAGCGAAGAGCCCGTCTATCATTGCAGATCCTTTTGATGTATTTAGTGAAATAAACCATAACTTGCATTGAACGGTAATGAAGAAAGGTAAAGACTACCATGAACAAAGGAACATCTTTATGAACGTGTGAGTTTCTTACTTGAACACGTACAAAGAATCTTTTTGGGAATTTTTGTTTCAGAACACAGCAGATGATGCTTCTGATAACCCTCCACGTTGGCTACCGTCAAGAACAAATGGGAACATGAAATGAAACTCAGTCCAGCCTGTCCCGTATATTTCAGCTATTTCGACAATCCCCCTTTTCTCCTCCTTTTTTCTGAACGCGTTTGTTTTTCTTATAATGACTTCTATCTATCGCTTACAATGCAAACCTCAATCTTATGACTGGGGTAAACTAGGGGACGTTTCCAAGGTGGCTGCCTATGCAAAAGCTTCTGGTGTCGAAGTAGATAATTCCAAGCCTTATGCCGAGTTATGGATGGGCACTCATCCTAATGCTCCCTCCATCGTCTTGAATGAAACCCAAACTTCACTTGGACAACTTATTAAAGACAATGTTCAGCTTAGCACACAAGCCATTTACGATCATTACAATGGCGACTTGCCTTTCCTCTTCAAGATTTTGTCTATTCGCAAAGCACTATCTATTCAAGCTCACCCAGACAAGACACTGGGTGCACGTTTATTCAAAGACTTCCCCAAAAACTATAAGGATCCTAACCATAAGGTATACGCGTATATTCACATATACATACATACGTATATTTGTATATATACTAATCTTTGTTACACAGCCTGAAATGGCTATTGCTGTTACACCTTTTGAAGCTCTCTGTGGATTCCGTCCCTTGGAGGAAATTGCTCACCACATGAAGGTCTATCCTGAGTTGACAGAGTTGATTGGACATGACCTTACGCATGAATTCCTCGAAATAAGCAAATCATCTGACGAACAAGCCAAGAAAGCAGTACTCAAGAAGGTTTTTGCTGCCGTTATGCGCGGATCCCAAGATACCATCACTCAACTATTGGCTAAACTCATTCACCGTCTGAAAGAATCTGACGACAAGGACACAATTTCTAAATTATTGATTCGATTGGATGAACAATATCCCGGTGGCGATGTGGGCGTCTTTTCTTGTTTGTTATTAAACTATATTTCCATGGAACCAGGCCAGGCTATCTTCTTGGGAGCAAATGAGCCTCACGCTTATTTGTCTGGAGGTAAAAGAAAGACTAAACAAATAGACGTATCGAACTGATACACTTGCTAGATTGTGTCGAATGTATGGCCACCAGTGACAATGTCGTCCGTGCAGGCCTGACTCCCAAGTTCAAAGATGTTGATGTGCTTGTAGAGATGCTCACGTATCGTTACGGATCAGCGGAATCACAAAAGATGACACCTGTCAAATTTGGTGAACACTCCCTTTTGTATGACCCCCCTATTGAAGAATTCTCCGTCGTTTGGACAAACATGGGATCAAATCAAACTGAAAAACACAAGCCAATTGAAGGCCCTAGCATCCTGATCGTCACTCGCGGTAATGGAAAACTGACAGGCGATGTACTCAAGACAGAACAGAGCTACGACTTGCAAGAAGGTTATGTTTATTTTGTAGGCGCAAACACTCCTATTTTAGCAGAATCTGGTGAATCTGGACTAGAGTTTTACAGAGCTTATTCTGTTCCTCCAACACAACAGTAAACATGAACAATAAACATTTTTAATATCTATTTATAAATCCCAAATCTTATTGTTCTTTTATTGTTTGATGGGCACATCATTACGGTCTGCCTCTTCCTTCACGGCTTCTACCAATCGACGCACTCCTTCATCCATTTGCTCATAAGAAACATTGCTGAATGACACACGAATATAAGGTGTATGCTCGCCTGCGGGCATGAATGCATTACCAGGCACAGCTATCACGCCCTTTTTAGGAATTGCCGTATTCATGATGAGATCGCTGGAATCTGTAACACCGCCGAGCAGCTTGATCCAGAAAAACATGCCACCACTTGGTTTAGCCCACTCGCCGTATCCTTTCATGTGCCTTTGCAGACACTCTTCAAATTGATCTGCTTTGGTTCTATAAAAATCAGCTACACTATCTACGTGTTTAAAGAATCCATCATGACCCCATGAGTTCAAGAGTTCATAAGCCATCAATTGAGGCACACCTGAAGACTGAAGGTTTGTTACCTATACACCTAGTGAGATAACCAGCGGTAAAGAAATAAAATTTAGAAGGCTTATTACCATTGTATGAAGATCGATACGACGAACAAGCTCGGCAGGACCTGTCACCCAGCCAATGCGCAGACCAGATGAGAGCACCTTACTCATACTATCAAATCTCAATACACGAGCATCTTGGTCCATTGAGAAGTAAGAAGGAACACGAGACGTGAACTGCAGATAGTAATAAGGATCGTCTTCCAAAATGAGTAGATCGTGCTTTTGACAGACGGCATAGACTTTTTGTTTACGTTCAAGTGTCGCTGTCGCACCAGTGGGATTTCCACCACATGGGATAGTGTAAAGTGCATTGGGTTTTTTACCGTCGGTCCATTTACTCAATACCTCATCCAGTGTCTCTGGTATCAAACCGTAAGCATCGGTTGCGACGCCGATCAATTTGCATGGTTGGGTTTTCAAAAAGGCAAGAGCGCCTGTATAGGATGGATCTTCGACTAAGATAGGAGTGCCAGGATCAATTACCATTTCAAACGCCTAAAGTGAATGTCAGTATTTTCCCCACTCAATAAATGATACTTTACCTTTGTCAACAAATCTTGTGATCCGACGCCAATCGAGAGAGCAAAGTCCTCATGCTTGGGTTTATGTTCAATTTCTTGCAGCTGTCTTAACCATGAGTTCAGTTGTGGCAGACCTGACTGTAGGAAAGCGTATATTAGTTAAGTCCTGGATACACTGTGGTCATTTACCGTAAGATCGTAAGACAAGCAGCGTCGAAATAGCTGTTGGTCCATTTGCAGAGTTTCGCCAGACTCGAGAGTGACGGTCATGCTTTTGAAAGGAAATGTTGATGGATTAGGCTGTCCTGCGCCCAAGCTTATCTACATAACAAAGTAAATATCTTCTTCACTTAGTAAAAAGTCTATCCGTACTATGTTGGGATCATGAAGGAAGGGTTGAAGGGCACGAACTATGCAGGAAAAAAAAAGAACAAGCACAGTAAATAAGCGTTCAATTTTTTTCTGTTTTAGGATAAAAGGTTTTACTGGGTGAAGGTTGTCTCGCCTTGCTTTGCTCGCTCAAGTATTTAGAATAGTCCATAAGAAACGTGAGATAAAAAGAAGGTGACGGGAGCAATGAGCATGAGAAACTTTTGAGCTTTTGTGTTCCTGTGACTGTCGGGATTCTGATTATCATATAGATTAGATGCATTTAGGCTGTCATTTAAAAGCCTTTGCAGACTAGCAACCTCTTTTTCGACAGATATGTGAGTACGCCTTAGCTCCATGTCTATAACTAAAAAAAATTCGAGCGATTTATTTAAAATAATTATTTTTTTGATATTAAAAAAGAGAAAAATTCCCAGCTTATAATTGTTAGCGATTGCTTGTGTAAACAATCTAGTATGCATGATACTTTTGAATTGTATAAATGAATACAAACGCAACAAAGTCTTTTTTCAAAGGTCCCGAAGAGAGGATGTTTTATGCCGACAGTTGCGAACTCCGTATCAAAATGCAGTCCAGTCACTCTTTACAACATGGTCTGTATCACACCATGCTTCATTGACTATAAGCTGTACATTTAAAGACAAGAGTAATGCAGCATAATGGTCAGCGTAGCTCATTACTCACTCAAATAATAAACTCTATTTACCTTGCTCCGTGTAGACAAACGCGTCTTTTGGTGGTCACTCGTTCCGAGCTAATCGGACTGCTGTCAACTCTGTCCGACTCCTATAGCCTATTCAAGACATTTACAATGTTTCATGTGACAAGCATACCAAATAAAAAAGGAAAGTACAACAAGACCAGTTTCTTTCAAGAAGATCATACACATGATGCGCGTTTAAGATTTGATCAAATAAAGAAAAGCGTGTTTTGTTTTCTTTATAATACAATTGTGATAAAAAGAGGGGTAAAGGGGGAATTAAGCATAATAGTAAACAAATAATAGTGATACACATGAATAAAAATACATGGAATATAATGAAAAAAAAGGGGATATGCACAATTAATGTTCATGCTCATTAGCAAAGCCACCCAGTGCCTTATATCTACCAAATGCCAATTCGCCTACGAATATACCACCAATGATAATAAAGAAAAATCCACCGTTTCCAGTCATGACGACCATCATGAGCAAGTAACTGATGAATGATGAGAATGCAGATAGTAGACTTCTAATGGTATCGGCTTTCCATGAGAAGGGAGGAACGGTAGGTAATTTGAGAGGAGAAGGGTATAATGCATTGCTCCTTAAAAAGTTTTGTGCGGGTGTTTTTTCAATATCGACCTGTGCTGACTCCTATCATATTTCATTATGAGTAAAGTTAAGAATGATAAATAAATAAAAAGGATCTTACGTTGATGCCGGCGTCTAATTGATTTGTCTTGTTGGCGCGTATCATTCTCCAGGTAACATAGTATGCTTCAATGGCTGGAAGACCACGAGAGAGAACAGCCATAAAGAACAGACCGAAGCAAGCACCAATGTAGGCTCCTTCCGAATTAGGTACCCAGGTATTGATCCATATGCCGTCGCCTTTTGTGCCCCAGTGGAAGGTGCCCATGGCTCCCATCATCATATGGCTCATACCATGATTCATAGTGGGTGTTGCAGTAGCAGCAGTTGCTGTAGATGTTGCAGTTTGTGCCATACCACTCATGTCGTGTCCTGAATGATCCATAATGTATTTGTTTATAAAATGAAAATAGAAAAAGAAAGAGTAAAAAATAAGTGATTTGACTCTCAATTGGACCTTTGCATTTAGCTTTTTATAATTTTGAGACATCTGGGGAGCAATAATCGCGCAAATCAAGTCACAGAGTCAGATTCATTTACAGATGAGCTTCGGCTAAAGCAACTCCTTGTCAATATCCTTATTCTACACATGAGAATCACCACCAATAAACTAAACTAATGCATTTTTGTAATTTGATTATGATTCACTACAGAGAAATTGACAACAAGTTACAGAGTTTTAAGAAAAACGAAAGTTAGCTTGCTGATGTCGATTTCAAACTAAGCAATGAATCACGTTAGGGACGTGCACTGCTTATAGTTACAAACATGCATGCTAACTAATGTAAGGCTCTTAGATTCGTAGCACAACCTAAGCTAGAAATTATGCTGTCTACAGAGTACATCGTTTTTCAGTTATCATATTGCTAAAAAAGCTTGAATGCTTCTGTCACTTAAAACTAGATCAAAACTAATTGAGTATGAACTTCATTTTCGTATGACAACAATACGAAACACAGCGCTCCAAAGCAATGCTACTTTATATGTAATGTATAAACAAATCAATTATCACTAAGTCATCAACCAACCCATATCAAGGACGTCATAGTATACACATTCAACCATACCTATTAGTAGGCGCGTCAAAGGTAGTAAGGGAGGGAAGGAGGATCAGATCAATGACGGAAAGCAAAAATGAATATGTTCTCGGATGACTCATTTCTTGAACATACTCAGTTCTTCTTCGGATTCCACGCTTGAAAATAAACGCTGATATTCTTTCAAAGACACGTAACATGAAGTCATTTCTAGTAAGGAAGAATAAAAGTCTCCAAAAATGAATAAGCTAGCAGTCTATCTGACTCCAACAGAAGCACTCGACCAGCTACAGTAGAACAACAAGAGTGCTTTACAGCGAAAACATCTCAATGACCAATGATACTATACTACTTTTTTTTTTTTTTCACCAATCATACATGTCTTGATTCACTGCCAGTAACATTTCGAAATCAGCAATAGCTATTGCTATTTGGGGATAAGACAATGTGTGGTTTATTATCAACCACTGCCTTATTAGCTAAATAAAGAAGAGCTTTGCTTAGTAAAAATAAAACTGCCTGCCCCTGTTGTTAGCTGTTATAATCTGTAGTTATTTTTTCCATCATTGTTGAAAGCAGAGTGAGTGTCCGAGCTGTGAAATAAAGCCAGTTTCTATGACAGCCAGTTTCCATGGTAACTTCTTTTTTATTAAGTGTAGACTATCATTCCATGGTAATAACCAGCGGGTGTCAGATGTGATTTGATATACATTGTGATTTTTTCTGATTAGCCAGACATTTTAGTCATTGGGGAAAAACGTTGACCCAACAATCGAGTGCCTCATACAAAACACTTTTATAGGAACGATTGGGGTGTGGCCACAATAGACATTATTAAACCAGATAAAATCAAGTAATATGTTTAGTCATATTAAATGGTCTAGATCATAAACACAATTAACTCTCTATTATCGTTATTTATCCCGCTCTTGAAAGACATTGTATTGTCCGGAACCCCCACTTTTGCTTTCGATCAGTAAAATAAAAAGCACCTGATAAAACGTCAGTAACAAACCATGGATTCCTTTTTAAGCTCAGATCAGGTGATTTCGCATGAAATAGCAAACAAGACTAGCTTTGTCATATGCACGTGAGTTGACATTTGGAAAAAGGAAAGAATATTTGGGGAACGAAGGAAATATGATCGACGGAGTTATAGAGTGGAAGTGAACACCAATATTCATAGAGGATTTTGTCCTAGAAAAAATAATTATAGATAATATACCAAAAAAAAAGGACGCACTTTTATTTATAAATACGCTGACATTGCGTGATCTCTTCGTTATTGTTGCTGAGAGTAGAATGAATAGCAAATCCTATGAAAATGCGGGCTGCTGGTAAATCAATTGTAGCAGTCCAATAATGGAAAGGCACTGTGTACTTTGTGTATCTATGAAATTATGCCACCTGTGCCGAGCGCGTGGCAGAAGGGTTCTACTAATAATAGCATGTCAATTAAGCAGTTACATCAGTGAAAAAAAAATCATCCTAGGTTATCCACGTCCGCGTATGAGCATACTATAGACATAGACAGGGCGGTAGGCCTCTGTCCTTTCTTCCAGTTGTAAATCAATCATGTATGCCCTCATCATATATCCCCTCATTGATTCATGATATACTGTATATGTAAAATAAAAGGAAGCCCCCTTTGTAAAAAAATCATTCAGGAAAATTTCGGATTGAAATCAGGTTTCACACTTTAATTTTTGTACGATTTCTTACAAAAGAATAAATACGAACGTTTTGACATGACAAATTCCAATCAATCCTTTTTCTTCTTTCTTCATTATGGACAAATTAAAGCAAAGTAGTCATAGATCAACAGAAAGCTATGCAAGCATAACACCTTCTGTTATATCAACTATCACATTTCATGATGTACTCAAAGATCCAACTCTCCTTCATTCCTTTGAATACTATCTCAAAAAGAATTGGTCTCAGGAATACTTGCTTTTCATTGAAGCAGTCAATCAATTGAGGCATGAATCAAATCGCCCTAAAGACATTGAAGATACTTTATTCAGGTTACATTTATTGCATTATAACAGTGAACACCTCATTAATTTTTAATGAACAGAATCTACCACAACTTTATAGAACCGGGCTCTCCTATGGAACTGAATGTTTCAACCAAGCAAGAAGTTAAAGAAAAACTCAATTCACTTCAATGGGCCGTTATTACTCGAGATGATGCTGTTGATGTCTTGAATAACACCGAGCAGGAAGTCTTGGCATCACTGGTAATGCAGTATATCATTTTGTACATTGTGTCTAAATCATATGGTCTCTTGTAGCATGTAAAGTTCTCTGAATTTCGCGGCACCTCACTCGCAGCTTCAAGGTACACACACAAGCACATGCTTATTAAGTTGGATTAATCTTTCAATTAAATAGTTCATTACAGAGTAAACTATATAAGGAACCCACCAAAGATCAAAAACGGGTTGTCATCATCGGCGGGGGATTTACAGTAAGACGTGTATAATTTATTATCTTTCAATCACATACTTAATCTTCATTTCCTTTTAGGGATTCACAGTTGCCTCCATACTTGATCCCATGTCTAGGTTTCATGTTACATTGATAGACGCAAAAGGTAATCACGCAGCAGCCTTACAACACAGTGCCCTAACCTATACTTTACAGACTCATTTGAGTACACCCCTGGGATTGTTTCCAAAATTGTTAATCCTGAACGATCCACATCATTACGATTTACGCATGAATCCTACGTCAAGAACGGCAAAGTAGTTATTGGCTACGCAAGTGATATTCTCAACGACGCGAAAAGCGTTAAAGTGAATGATGAAGTGGTACCTTGAATTTCTCTCTAGTAGACTTTAGCTTATTTCTATATATAGATTCATTTTGATTACTTGGTTCTCTGCACCGGTACATCTTATGCTAACCAACTAAAGTCAACCGACTCGTCCTCTCTCTATCGCACAGCTAATCTCAGAAAGATTTCTCGTGACATTGCCCAAGCCAAGAAAGTTCTCATCGTTGGAGCTGGTCTCGTTGGATGTGAACTTGCCGCTGCCATCCGTCAAAAGTCTCTGGCGACACAACGTGACACTAAAGTGGTCCTAGTCGACTCTCTTTCCGAGGTACTGCACCGATTCCCGCTCAAACAAAAACGCAAGGCCCACGAGTTCTTGGTCAATTTAGGAGTCGATATCGTCCTGAATGAACGTATCACAGCCATCGGAAGTGACGAAAATGATGAAGCCTATTATGGATCAAGCGGTCGCATTTATTCTCGTAAGGAGTATATTGTGCTTCTTGCGACAGGTGTCAAAGTGAACACAGATATTCTCTTAAATTCCACAAATGAGTCCTGTCTTGACATTTGTCTCGATAATCGCGGGTACGTTCGGGTCAAACCTACTCTTCAGATCGAACATTGGAAATACAATCACATCTTTGCTGGAGGTGATATCACCAATGTGATTGAAGAAAAGACAGCATATGCTGCTACAATTGCTGGTGTCTGTATTGCTCGTAACATTTGTCGTCTTGAAAAGGGCAAGGAGCCCCTTGCTCAAGGTACAAAGGGCCTCATTGCTCCTCCTACAAAACCTCTTCATGGTGTTTCTTCTCAAGGCGGTATAGGAAAACGTAAGTCATGTTCGACTTCATTTAGAAAATGTATTTATGTTCTTTTTACAGAAAACCTTGGCATGTTAGAAAAAAGGCTTTCATTTCTGAATCCTACTTGGGAAGCACTCAAATACTTTAATGAAAAGCAATACTTCAAAATTGTCCAAAATAGAAAACTGAACGTTATTGGCAGGGCGCCTAAATCATTAGATGCTATTCAAAGGAAAAGAAGAATATTCCCATTCTCACAAAGTCAAATAACGCTTAAAACTGAAGAGGAAGCCCCTTCCTCCGAAAGTAGTGTATAATAGTATATATTTTTGTATTTCTTGTAACTAGTTTATCTTATATGAAATGGATAAAAATTAATAATAGAATATATTAATGTTCTTTTAATGTCATTTTGTTACTTTCTTGATGTTGACGAATGCATTGGGCCCTTTCCTGTTAATTTTATAAACTTACAGAGGCCAGTAAGACGCTACTATGCTCTTATTACGTAAGAAATAACAAGGAGACTCATAGCAGCATCTTCCATTAAAAAAACAAGCTTGTAATGTTTATTGAACCTTTGTAGGTGATTTGGGATTCAATGATAATGTCTTTTATAAAAGTTAAGTTTCGGTTCTTTAATGGTATTTTTTTTTTTGACATTTAGAAACGTAAAATGTATTTACGTAAAACGACCATACGCGTCATCTATCGCCTCTACTCTCTTTGGTCTTCTCTCTTCTTCCTCACGCCTCATCCTTCTTTCTTCTTCTTCACGACGTCTTCTTTCTCTAACATCCAACCGTTGCCCTTCATATAATTCTCTTCTTAGCTGACGTGAAGGATGCTTCAAGTGCATAAAGTTACAAAAGCCTCCACGGTTACACTCGGCTATTTCGTGTTGTCTACAGCATGCTTCCCTAAAGTCAGTTACCGGTGATAACTCAGCATATAAAGGACGTCCTATAAAGATGTCAGATTACATGTGTAATATACATATATATGTATTTCACATTACCTGCATAGAATCTATTATTGAGACTTTCAACAGCATTACCTGCCGACTCCTCTAGTCTGTATTGACAATATACGTTGCCCACGAGATGATCTCCTACATTGTCACATACAACCATTTCCTCAATCTCGCCAAACTTGGCTAATTCCATAAAAACATCTTCATAAAATAAGTCAAAATCTTCCTGCAGTTGATTTTCAGTGAGATGGAAATTGGGATCATGAGCAGGGTTTTTGTACATGTTGGCAATCAATAATGTTTGTGAAAAAGTAGGTTTGACATGCTTTCTAGAACAACGATCGCCATGACGACAGGCGCCAATCTAATAAACAGTTAGTTCTTGTTTGTTTTTGATTATTATCGTTTTATATGTGTATTTATTTACTTTGAAGTAAAAGGAACAATTAACTCTATGATAATAATATTATGTAAGATTATTTGATTCGTTTCATTCTATTTGATGCTACTTACTTGTCCTTTTCTGTACCGTAGATACTAGCGAGATATTCAGCCATTGAAGTAAAAATGAGAAAAAGAAAAGAGTATAAAAAATATAGACTACGAGCTTTGCCCTCAACCTTTCATTCTGTCCAATGGCAAATCATTGTACAAAAAAGGAAATATCAACAAGCCACTCTACCAACAGCATACACAAAATACCAAAAGGTAACAGAAAGTGTTGTATTTAAACACGAGTGAGCGCATTTACGAAACTATTTCATTCTAAGAAAGAAGAAAAGGGGAAAATAGACAAGAGAAGCTTCTTAAGGCTATCAATAAGCCATTTTCATTTTGGTATTGTTGGTAGTATTGCATAAAACCTAGGTTTAACGGGTTTTATGCACTTAAATAACCACAGTGACTGGTTTTTCTGTAAGAAACTTCTCTCTAACGCTCAGCGCGCTTTCTCTCTATTGCTTTTTCTTTTAAACAGTTTAAATTATGGCACCAAAGAAGAAGCAAAGCAGCTCACTTGGTCGAGCTGTTATCAAGTCACGTTTCCAAGGACAGAAAGCCTTTGGCGTTGATGAAGGCAAACTTGTAATGCTTTTTTAGTTCTATTATGATCTTGAGCTAACTTCTTTTTTCTCTTTTCCAGCAACACACAACAGACATCGATGAGGGACCAAAATGGGTCAAAATGCAAAGTATTACTCAAGAGAACGATCTCGAAGCTTTTCTGAGCACAGCTGCCCTTGCTGATACTGATTTCACAGCAGGTAAAACAAAAGTTACAGACCGTGCGCAGTAAATGCTTATTTTTTTTTTTTACTAGAGAGACTGAATGTAAAAGTTATTCAAAACGACTACACTAATCCATTGCTCATGGACGATGACGAGGACCAAAAGCGACGTATTGCAAAGCAAGAAGCCAGTATAGATCGACTCTCAGTTCCACGCCGACCTCATTGGGATAAATCGATGACAGCAGAACAAGTACAGCGTAATGAGCGCGAGAGCTTTTTGAACTGGAGACGATCTATGGCACAGTTAGAGGACGAAGAAGGGCTGTTGCTTACACCATTCGAAAGAAATATTGAAGTCTGGCGTCAGTTGTGGCGAGTCATTGAGCGATCTCAGTTAGTTGTTCAGATTGTCGATGCACGTAACCCACTCTTGTTTCGATCTGCTGATTTAGAAAAGTATGTAATCGAAGTTGATGCAGAAAAGAGAAATCTGTTGTTGATCAATAAGGCTGATTACCTCACAGTCGATCAGAGAAAGCAATGGGCAGATTATTTTGAATCAAAAGGAATTGAGTATGCTTTCTTCTCAGCTGCTTTAGCTGCAAAATCTAAACTGGAAGAAGAAGAAAAAATGAGAGAAGAGGAACTGAAGGAAGCAAAGGACAAGGAACAAGACAATGAAGGAAAAAACCAGGAAAAGCCAAAGGAAGAAGATTCTGTCGAAACCATTTCAGACTATTTATCCAGAGCATCACTTAGCCATACTCAAAATGACGATGAACGCATACGTATCCGTACAACAACAGATTTGCTCGATTTATTAATCGAAAAAACACCTGCTTCTAAAGGTACACATGGGTTTTGATTTTTTGTATTTTATCTAACCCATTTTTTCGTAGATGAAAAGATTACAATTGGTCTTGTGGGATACCCCAACGTAGGTAAATCCAGTACAATTAACGCATTGATCGGTGAAAAGCGAGTGTCTGTTTCTTCGACACCAGGCAAGACCAAGCACTTTCAAACAATTCACCTTACACCCTCTCTCATTCTCTGTGATTGCCCCGGCCTTGTATTCCCCACCTTTTCTACTACCAAGGCAGACCAAGTCTGTAACGGTGTGTTGCCCATTGATCAGCTTCGAGAACACGCTGGTCCATGTGGACTTGTTGCTCAACGTATCCCCAAAGCTGTACTCGAGGCGACTTACGGTATTCGTATCCGTACTGTGCCTGTTGAAGATGGTGGTACAGGTATTCCTACAAGCTCTGAACTGTGTTCGACATACGCTATTGCTCGAGGCTATTTCAAATCAAGCCAAGGTAACCCTGATGAAGCACGTGCAGCAAGATACATCCTTAAAGATTATGTGAATGTAAGATCAAGACAGCCTCTTTTTTGTGCATTTTGACTGACTCGGATTTTAATAGGGCAAATTATTATTCTGCCATCCACCACCAGGCGTAGATGCATTAGAATTCAACAAAGAAATTCATGAAGCAGCACTTAAAGTGTTCAAGAAGGCAGCACCGACCACGCGAGTGCCTTCGAGTGCATTAAACTATGTTTCACCTGCTCAGGGCGGAACAAAGACAGCAGCTGTTGATAAAGCGTTCTTTGAAAAGCAGTTATCATCACCACACATCAGCGGAAAAGGTGCGCTTACAGGAGGAAGAGTGACATTATACCCTCATCAGCGTCTTTTAGCAGATGATGGTACACCGCTGCCCATGACGAGAAAAGAACGCGCAGCTATTGTTCAAAGTCAATTGGGTGATATGGGCTCAAAAAAGCACAAGAAAGGGAAAAAGCACGTTAAGGTTAGGAGTGGAGCTGGTTATGACTATATGTAAATTTTACCTTGTATAGAATAAAAAAATTGTATGCATATATACACAGCACAGAGTGTCTTTCTTTTATGAATTATGAGCCATCATAGTTTAATGTTTATAGCTATTCTTGATGCTTCGTCTAATCCTGTGTCGTAAAGCAATAGTAACGTTGGCGAAACGAAGGCAAAGGATGTGGTTACCCGCCTAAGATTTTTCAGCTGGCTTATGAATAGAAAGTAGTATAGATTTCCCGTCCCTCGTGCCTTAAATCACAAAAAGCTGAGTGCAACTTTCAAGTTATACGGTTAAACAGTTTTATTTACAATTAAAGCCTCAAGTGGGCGCACGATAATAATAATATATCTTCTTCGCCCGGGGCAGGTCAAAAGAGAATAAAGAATTGGTAACTAAAAATCCCTTATGGGATCAAGGGTAAAAATATTATGAAAGAAATGATGTTGGACCAAGTGTAAGATACACTAGTGAGAGGAAGGATGAAGCCAATCGAGGAGCTTTTGCCCGAGGTGTAGCCATTGGTAGCCAAACGATGGGATCTAAGGAGATAGCCAGGCGACAATGTATAAGAAGAACAGAGGCATATGTAGAGCGCTTGTGATTGAGGTTATCTTGGTGGAACTTCCTTTGCATCAAGCGTAAAGGGCGGTGATCAAGAGGTTTTGGGTTTGGTGCGCATAGTTTCCAAATGGATGACCTAGAGAGCTTATACCATTGGGAGTGACTTTTAGGTTGGCGGATCAATGGGAGAAGATGAGAAAGTAGTGAATCATTCGGGAGGGTATAGATGCGTAGAAGGAATTGAGACTAAAGGAAGTAAGCGCGTTCCTGCATGGTTGGTAGGTTTGCCAGATGTAGCATCACTGTTGTGGAGGAATTGCGCGAGTCCCCGAAGATTCAACGTATGCAGGTGTTCTGGAGCGTCATCTATTTGTTTGCTAAGGAAGGAAGTAGCCTTGGTAATGGCTAGTCCATATTCCAATTGGGCACGAACAATTTGGGAATAGAAACGAGTGGCTAAGAGAGGGGTAAAACCTTTGGGATGAAGGCCAATGGCTGAGAGTTGGTTCATAGTTGTAAGGGCTTTAGTCTTGTTGTTGGCAATTAATTCAATGGCGTCGAGATAGCCACCTGAACGAAAAGGAATTTCGAGATAGGGAAAGGAAGATTGCTTTGGGATTGGCTCGCTATAGAGAGTATAACTTGAGGACGATTGTGTTGGATCTAGTATGACGCATTTACTTGGACTCCATCGGTGCCCAAGCTTGTAACTATGGTCCTCACAAGACTTGAGGAGGGTTGGCATGCCGGCCTTAGCAGCTACGAGAACTACGTCGTCAGCATAGAGGAGACAGTTCATGTGAAGGACAAGTTCGGTAGGGGAAATATTCGTGGTTAGTGGTTGCGGGCGCAGAAGGCGAGGTAACTCGTTAATGTATATGGAATACAAAAACGGAGAGAGAATTGATCCCTGGAGGACACCAATAATTGGTGAGAAACGAGTGGATGTTGCATTATTAAGTAGGACTTCTATCTGTACATCATCAAATAGATTTTGAAGCACGCTAATCAGTGCAGCAGGTGCTGTTTGCTCTAGGTTTTTCCATATATAACGACGATCCACAGTATCATATGCCGACTTTATGTCTAAAAAGGCCAGTACTGGGGTTATATGGTGAAAGTGGCGGAGGATGTTGCATATTTCGGCTAGGCAGAGAGCTTGGTCTAAGGGCCCCCTGGACTCACGAAAGCCACCTCGAGCCATGCCCAGGGGAGGGCTATTAGCTACCAAAAAGCTATAGATACAGCGCTCTAATATTTTTCTGAAGATGGACGTTAGACTAATTGGCCGATAGTTACCTGACTCTTCTGGGTCGCCTTTTTTATATATCGATACAATTTGCGCTATTCGCCAGTCTGCAGGTGTATAGGACCAGGTCCAGCATAACTGGAACAAAAATAGCAGAATATCTGCAAGATTGGCCTGTAAATGAGCGAGCATTTCTTGACGTAAATGATCAGGGTCTGGAGTCTTGTTAGATGGTAATTGCCTAAGTGCTGCTTGTACATCGTCCAACGTAATAGAACAAGTTTCTCTCGCAAATGAAGTGGAGTTGGTAAGGGAGGAGCGGGTCTGTTCTACGCCTTGGAGTAATTGGCCGGAGTAGATTGCCTGTAAGTGGGAGGCCATCACGTTAGCTGCATGTTGCGGACCTTCTAAGGTAGAAAAAGAAGGCTTTAGGTTTCTATTTTTACGAACTTTACATAATTTTGCGATGGCTTTGGTATACTTCCCTTGTTCCATTTTATCACAGAACTCTTTCCATGTGCCTCTTCTTCGTTTTAAAATCATCCGACGTAGCTTCGCCTTAGCTTCTTGATGAAGGAGTCAGTATTTGAGACGGCTCACCCCTTGTGATTTACGTCATTTTCTATAGTAGTGTTCCTTAAGTTCGAAGACCTCTTGCAAATCAGCTGTCCAGAATTGTTGCAGGGGGCTGCACCATTGTCGCGTATTACAGTCACAGACCTCATCCAGAGATTGGTAGATCGCTTGACATAGGTCGTGATTGAGTTTTTCAATATATGCCGATGCAGAGGCCCTGTTGTCAAAGGAGGGAGCAGTAGTAGGTATATGATCCTTGGTAAGATGGGAAAAACGATTATTGTATTGAGCTCTTAACTTTTTATCTTTTAACTTGCCCAAGTACCACAAGATTCCTTTAGACGGGAGGGGCCTCTGAGGTGGAGCTGATGCTTGAAAGGATAGGTTCATGAACTTGTAATAGGAGTCAAGCGATAGATCGTCCCGAATTATTAAACTTGAGTATGACGGTTCTGTCATACTAATGAAATAGTCGATAATACTGCTGCCAGAATAGTTCATAAAAGTGGGTGATCCATATGCTAGTCGTTCATTCCATATTGTCATATTGTGAGAATTGATCCATTCGTATAGTAACTGTCCTCGGTGATTATGTAAAGTGTCTCCAGTAACTTTGCCTATCTGTGCATTGAGATCGCCACAAATGATGGTGGATTCAGTGTTTGACATATTTGGAGGAAGCAAGTTGAGAATATCGGAATATTCGGTGTGTGGTAAAGAAGGAGGTAAATAAAGACAGTGAACAAGGTATGTTGAAATAGTGAAAGACAAGGCATACTTAGCTAATATGTCATTCTTATGAGGAATATGCTGTACTGAGAAGGGATTGAAAGGGTTAGCTAGTAGAGCTATACCAAGGCTATCTCGATTCATGCTCGATTGAATAGGTTGATACTGGATACTTGCTAGGTGTGAGAAGCCATGATTCAGTAATTAAAAGAACGGAAGAGGATTCAGCTGCTTTAAGGAGTGGTGAGATAGCATGTTTAGGTAGACCAGTAGCGTTGAATAATGATATGCTGATAGTATTCATTATAGCTGTGAGTGGTTATCTTCATTATTCAAGAGGTGCATGACTACGCTGTCATCGCCTTCGAAGATATCGGCTGGATGGTTCATTCTGGTAGGAATGTTTCCATCGAGAGTGGACTTGTCAATCCATTTTTGAGTATAGAAATAACGAGCTACGGCTGCCTTAACTGGAGCACGGATGTAAGGAAGGGCTCGTCTCACACTTTCGCAACGGAACTTGAGAGAAAGATGGTCACATTCTTCTTTAGAGCATTGGTCATATTTGGGGTCCATGAGGATCGATCCATCACAAGGATCAAAATTGTCTAAATGCGCACTTTGAATTTCTGGAGGTGAGATTTCAGTTTGGGGGCATAATTGTTATGGACAAGAAGGGTCACAGTGGTACGAGCAGGGTAGTGGATATCAAGAATACGACTGTTATTGATATCTAATTTACGAAGGCGGGCGCGTAATTGCTCGACAGGGACACGGGCTATAGTGGGAACGAATATATTGGAAACCTTGGTTCTCAGAGGGTGGCTGCAAGAATTGGGCAGCGATTTCTTGTCGTTGTAAGCGTCGTTGTTGACGCTGTTCTAGCATTGAAGCTTTGAGAAGACTAAGGCGGGCTGGGCCGCGCCAGAGAGGGAGCGATTGAGAGGCAGAGGGCAGAGGCGGGATTGAGAGCTATTTGAATCAGAGATAGGCTGAGTATCAGTATGTACTTGGTTGCGCAAAACTTGGATTTCTTCTCGAGCTTGTTTGAGTTCGGCTTGGGTCTGCTTGAGTTCGGCATACAATTTTTTAATTGTTAGCTGCAGATCTGTAATAGTTACACCTGATGGTAGAGCATTGATATCGGAGCTTGTGAACTGGGATCCAGAAATTTCCATTGATTCCTGAACGGAGGAATCAGAGGGTAGATCAGTTGCTGTTGAGACCGACTGAAACATGTTCGCCATGGTATGTACATTGCAGTACAAGTTACAACTTTTGCACAAGAAACTAGGTTGAGGGGGATCGCCAGCTGTGGTACCATTGCGGTTGAAAGAGCCACTTGCTTGGCAATTAGTACAGACGAGTCTGCGACGTTTGATCTCAAATTGCTTATGCAGATTTTGAATCTGCTCATTTGAAATAGCAGACACAGTGGGCTTGCGACCTCGTAAACCGTGGGTCATTGTTGCTGCCTTATGTAGTTCTGTATGTCTCAATTGTTCGTATAGGTATGTGTAACGTATAAAATGCAGAAAAAGAGCTTTCTTTCAAGTTATACCGTTAAACAATTTTATTTATTTATTTATAAAATATAAAGGCCACAAGGGGCACGTGATATTTTTATTATATCGTTTTTGCCCTGGCTAGTTCAAGTTGTGAGGCAGTATCTAAAAATTCTTCTGGGCTCGAGGGCAAAAATGCTTTGGCTGACAGATTCACGGAACAAGTGTTAAAAACACTGCTATGAAGAATTAGTAACCATTTAATCAGTTTCTGCCCTGGGTCAGATGGTGATGGTGGCTCTTTTTCATGGTATAGGTGATCAAGTTCATGTAAGATAGCGCAGATTACGGGCCATCTGATAGTCCAAAACGATCTTGTTTGAAAGGGGCATGGTTTTCGAGTGGGAAGCTTATTTAAAAGGAGGGACAGAGGATCAGTTATAGACTTCGGTAATTGTAGACAGTGATGCATGTTGAGGTAATAGATGGCATGTTGCTTTGTAAGGAGCTGTGAGGTGTGTCGAAGGCAGCGAGTAGTGTTATAACTGAGTAACCAACCAAGACGCCACCGTATGCTCTTTCAAGTTATGCAGTATTTCCAAAAATTATTGACACAGCCAATCATAATGTGTATGTACTAGATTATTTGTGCAATTGTGACTGTGGTTACGGGTGCGGAGACCCTCCACTACCCTAAGAAGTTTGCATATCCACTGGGTTATACCGCGACTAGCAGATGAAGGGGTAGTATATGGGGCCAAGGGAAAGCAGAATGGATGAGTGGCCACGGGGAGGATGTGTGGAACTACATGGTGAGAAAGATATCCAAGAAAGACAACGCTGTCCAAGTCGGGGGGGGGGTATGGTCATGGAGGTGGGAGACTTTTAAAAGACCAAGCTATGGACAGGCGAGTAGGTCATCGGTCATCCAGCTGTGGGTGTCTCTCCTTACCTCACACCCACTCCTACGGTTACGGTTACGGTTTATTTTTTTTTATTTTTATTTTTTCTTCAATTGTTGAACATGAGCCTCGTACGAAATTAAAACCTGGAAAAGATCTAATGGCCAAATGAATCCTAAGAGATCTTAAAGTCATAAATCTTATCACTGAATCTCTGGTAAAAACAGCAGACAATTATTTTACTGGAAATTGCGAATGGAAAAACGTTACACGCTCCGACATGGTTCTTGAGCCAAAGACGGCTCTCTCAGATCTCTCTCCTCTAATCGTGGAGATTCAGCATACAATTAACAAAGCATTCATAAAAAGAGCTGCCAACTATTGCTTACAAGCGTCTACAAGATACCATAGTGATCCTATAATATTGATTATTTGCGTAGAGAAGCTTAATCAAGGCACACACAAACATGTGAAACTAAGCAAGCTCCCAGGTGTCTTCTCATACTTTTCACAACTATGGGCCGAACACTGCTACATTATTTCTGAAGAAAGTGTCAAAGATAATTTTTCGACCCTCCTGAACCCATTAATTGCACTTGGTTCTTTTTTTACAAACCGTAGTCTCTCATTAACAGACCATCCATTCAAAAATGATCCAGTAATTCAATATTTATACACCTCAACAATATTCCAACATCAATTTAACATCATTAACAAAGATATACCACTTTCAATTATGGATTTTCAACTTGTGGAATATGATAGATTATTGACACTCGCATATTCACTTAAGCAACCACAGTTGGGAGAAGCCGTAAACGATGCAAAGTCAAGAACTCTGACGATGAAAAGGAAATATGAAGAACTATTTACTGCAAAATCTTCATCAAATAAAAAACTACAGGCGTCCCGCAACTAACAACATCCACAGCCACCACCACAGTTGACAGAAACAATAACATGTATGACGAAGCCATGGAATTTGCCGCTGAATATTTAAACAAAAGAAAGTGGAGGAAGGGAAAAGGATGGATTGGGCCACTTGTCTTAAAGAAGGGAAGGGTTTATGTATATTAAATTATAAGGTCCATTGTGCCTTAATAAGTCCCACTGAAAGCCCTGCCCAATATTCTGCAAATGCTGTCTCTTGCTAATCCAGAATTACGCAAGCTTCTGATCAGTGACATTATAGTTCATGAGCCTTAGATCGCCAACCTTCGTCTGCGAACAGCTAACGAGTATCCTCAGTTTCGACGGCTTTGTCATAAAACTATTACTTTATTGCTCCAAGGGCAAGTTCTACTGTCTCCTGCTTTCCTGCCTCTGTGTATCCCCGGGAGCACTTCTACACCTGACTTGGACGCAGCCACTATAGATTTGGCACCCCTTAGTCGGCCTAATGTTTCTAGAGTGAACGATTTTGGTCCTCTTGTCTGTTATCAGTCTTACCGTAAGTATTTACTGTCACAACGAAGCTTGGAGCGGAAAAAATACGAACCTGCCGTGTCTTCTGCGTCGTGGACATCTTTTTGACGACTACTGCTCCCTCCAGCAGCGCGAAATACGTGGTATCGTTTGCTACATCGAACAACCCCTTGTAAACAACGCCTACATGTCCTTATTTCGAATCAACACCCTTCCACGTCGTGTTCATTCTGTGGCTCCGCTGATGAAACTGCGTCTCATTTTTTCTTCAGTTGTTCTCACAATGCCGCGCTATGGACAATGACTCTCCATAAGTTTTTTTTCTGGGTTATCCTGCTCGCTTACTCAAATCGAACAGTCAATGCTAACCATTGCAGTATCTCATATAAACACCACTCCCGATACTCTCAGCTCAATTGTCTCAAGCATCTCGCTTTTATCGCTGTTCGGCTGCACTCTTCAAGTCATATGGCAATCACATTGGCAAAAGGTATTTTACGATACACATTTCAGTTGCCAAACGATGCTCGCTTCTCTTGAACAAATGGTATTCCGCTTACACCATGAGAACAGCTACACTTTTGATCAAGGAGTTTTAATTCTCACTACACACTACTCATCATTTGCATATTCAAAAAAAAAAAAACTTCATTTTAGCATCAGTCTCACTCCCTTTATAAATTGTATTGGTCAAGTTGACTTTAAATAAAATCCGGACTACTGGCTCACCGGTGCTCCCTTATAAAAAAAAATAGCGCAAGGTGTTAGAGTTTTGAAAGTCTTCCAATATACTAGCTAGTGATCCGTATGGCTTTTGCAATCACTCCAAGCGGCAAACAATAAATTACTATCACAACTTACATCTTAGTATTTTTACTTTTAATAAGACTCATTAATGTGTGTTTTTTTTTTTTGAGATTGATAACCATATTTGCCTAAGTGGACACTACAGTTTTTGGGAATGGACAACATGATTTTTCGAAAGCGATAATCATTTTTGCCTAAACTGACAATTAGATTTCAATAACTGCCATGTGTTTTTGGCTTAGCGACATTTGTTTTTCACAGTGACAATATTTAGCAGCCGCACTGTAAACTTTGAATCATTTTTGCATGCTTTTTTTTTTTTAAATAATTACTCATTTGGATCAACTCTTGTATAAAAAAGATAAAATCGATTCTTTTGATTTCCAAGAGATTCTCACTCCATTTGGGTAAACATTCTCTTTTGAGTATAAATAATCAAAAGATTGACAGTGAAGGAGAGTAGAACGTTGAAGCTTCAAGTATCTTATCGCGAGCACTGCCCGTTAGATATCAAAAAGAAGCTATTTCATAGTAAAAAATCGTATTCAAGGTCAACCTCATCCAACACGGCTACTCCCCACTTGACTTCATCTAGATCTACTGCAAGCAATAGTAGTAGTAATAGTAACAGTAGTAGCAGTAGTAGCAGTAGTAGCAATAGTAGTAGACCACCTTCTCAAAGTCGAAGAAATATATCGGACAGACGTATATCAACTCCCATCATGGTCTCCCCTTTCAAATCCTCTTCTTTATCTCCTCAACCTGATTTGTTATGTAAGATGAGAGGAGTAGGTCCCTTTGAAGAGAAGCTCACAGATTCTCATTTTGTAGGCTCACAAGCATTCGAAAAGATGAGAGGTATGGTTGATCACAGTCGCAAAATAGAATTCTCTTCTTGCTTTGACCGGTACAAGAACACAAAAAAGTACCTTGGTGGGACAAGACGAGGCTCACAGGCAAGTGATCACAGCATTAGAACTGTCGATGTATGACCGTCTTCCCTTTTTATGCTCTCGTGTAACACGTTTGTTAGGATGAAGAGGACCTCAAGGAGTTCATGAAGTTAATTGGAACAAAGCAAGAACTTAAGATATTTCATCATTCTTTAGTTTGTGATCCAAAGCAAGATGTAAGTTGTGTTGATTTAATGCATATTTAGCTCGTTTTTCTTATAGAAGCAGTCTCTTTCCTACTTTAGAGATATTCATAACGTGCTGTCATCCTATCCGGATATGGTATCGTCGTCTGTTCCATTTCAAAAGGTCAAGCAACCCTTACGCCTAGAGGATGACCCTGTACGACCCATTTCTCTCAGAAGAAGACCTTCTGTCATGCCAGCTGCAGCCAAGCAAACGGATGATGACGACGATTCATTATTGTTTAGAATGAGCGAGCTTGGCGACGACGTACCGATGCAGAGCATTTAATTCTTTACCTGATATCTCTCTTTTACGATCAAGCAAAAGAAAAAAAAATGTATAAAAACCAGATTGGGAAACCACCAAAAAAAATAAATGTTTATTTTTGTTTAAAATACTACCAATTCCCTTTTCATATTTGTGTGTAAAAATGATTTTTATCTTAATTCTTTTGCATGTAGCAGCAGTGGCATGCAACAAGAGCTTATGCCTGGACCAAGCCGATCCGCTTTCTATCAACAGCCGTCAATGGATCGAATGTCCGTTCGTCTCACATCAAAACGAAAAACGATCGTCTCAGTCTGCACCTTTTACTGTAACATTTCATTGCTTTGACCTGGCGCCTGATGATTGTATTAAAGCAGAACGAGCATTCAAGAAAGCAGGAGATATGTTGTCGAGCTATATTGTGTTTAATGAACCAGTCAGGGTCAATGCAACATTGGTCTCATTCTGTAAACAGTTGACTCAATGTGATGATAACAGCACTTTGGGTGGCTCTTTACCGTTAAGATCGATGCCGCTCATGAACCGTGATGGTGTTGTACGATTACATCCGCAAGCCCTCGTCAAGCAGCTTCAGCTAAGTCACCATCCTGCCTATGCACCTTTTGATATACAAAGTCTGTTCAATGCAGATGCACCTTTTTGGTTTGATGCAAGTGCCCTTTTATCAACATCAACCGATTCTCATTCTTTGTTGCGTAGGAAGACGATGTGCCCATCGCAGGACATCAAGCTGATTTTACATTTGTTATACTTGTAAGCTCCTTGTTGTAAACAGATCTCACAGCATTGTTAACCCTTAAAAGCACGAATTGATTCATGGCTTAGGCTTCTACTCAGGATGGAGCGATTATCTCGTCCCAGACGCACTGACACCTTCCATTGGTGCACTAAGCACAGACATGAATCTCCAGTTTATGGAGTCAGCGATGGATCGGTTGTTGTACATTCTTCAAGACGCGACGCCAACGTCCACAATCAGTCAGAACCTAGACGCCATGGTGATTACGGATGAGCTTTTGAAAACGCCTGCGTCGGATATGTACCGACTAGCCACCACACCACACACCCTCGGCCTGATCATGGCCAATCATACCTTGGTGTTAGAGACAGGTCTCACTCCATTCCGATCTGGATCATCGTTATCGCACGTCGCGCAGGACATTTACAAAAACACACCTGATTTTCTTATGCGGTTCAGCCAAGAACGTGGTGTGTCGCTATCGGATGCCATGACAAGAGTAGGAACAGCAAGTCCTCTAGGGCCAGCCACACTAGCCGTGCTAGATGAACTCGGATACACTGTCATTGATCAGACACAAATCAACATGAACTATAAACATACATCACAAGGAGAAAGAAATTCGCTCGTCTGGCTTGTTTTCTTAGTCACGGCCGTCTTTTCTTTTCATTTGTTATTAAAATAAAAAAAGTAACGCTTTCCTTTTTCATATAAAAAGTTTTTTTTTTATAATCGATCATGGGCAAAGAACAGATTCGAAAGGCTCATAAGCCAAGAACGAATCCACTCGGAGTTAGAGTCACTGGTCAACATGAGATTGTGAATCCACCGATCGATCTGCATCCTGATCAAGTTTTACCAGTGATACAAAAGGTAATTACAAAAAAAAAAGAAGATAAATCAATACTGACATGTGTCTTTATTGTTAGTTGTCTTCACCAGACGCAACTGAAAGAGCTTGGGCAGCAGCCAGTATATCCAACCTCATCGTCTCAAGCAGTACAAACCTTAAGTTGTTGCTTTCAAAGGGGGCTGTTGTAGGACTGATCAAGTTACTGAGTGACGAAAAGCGTGAAGTGGTCGAGGAAGCGCTTGGTACATTAAGGTAGATCTCCTTTTGTTTAGTCAGTAATGTTTATTGATCTGTATATAGAAACTTGTGTACTGTTGAATTGGATGTTTGTCAAGAATATGTTCAATATGACATCTTGACACCTTTGAGTAAACTGCTGCCTAATATAACTACTGTGATTAATGATGTGATCAAGGATACACCTCTAAGAGATGAAGAAGACCAAGATAGAAGAATGGGCATTTGGGATGTTGCCGAGAATTTCATCTGTATTATTTGGAGTTTAGGGTAAGAATATAGGAGAAAAAGAGTCGTTGAAGAGAGAGAAATAATTGTTTTCATATAAAGCGAATTCTCTGAAAACTATGTCGAGGCTATCAACCAATTGAACCTTGCGGGCTTCTTGATTTCATTCTTGTCATTTATCGATCAATGTCCCACACGCGTTGTCACAGCAGCAGGACAATGCCTGACTACTCTCACAGAGGACAATAAAGAGATGCAAGCTCAGTTCCAAGCACACCCTGAGTATACGCAGGCACTGTTGATCACACTTCAAAAGTTTGCACCCAACACGGCACAGCCTCTTGTTTATGTTCTTGCATCTGGTAATAACAAAATAATATAACCTAACAACATATTTAATCATAATTCATAGCTACTTTAATGAATATTCGACATGTTCTCGGACAATCCCAAGAAGAACTTAATAATATGATTTTACCTATTTTGATCTCTTCATTAGACTATGATATTCAGACTACAGCGGAAGAAACCAAGGCTGTGATCCAGAGCGGTGTAAGCAGTAATAAATCACGTGTTATCTGATGCTCATTGTTTTCTATTAGAAACTGCAAAAAGATGAAATGGAAACCAAACCAAGCGAACCTTTGAACAAGGAAGAAGTAAGAGAAAAAGAGGATAAACGGTAAAAGAGGTCAATGCTAATGATACGACAGGTCTACATTCAAGGTGTTACAGAACGCTTGGCTACCTTGCAATTAGCGTTGGAACTGTTAGCCGCCATGTGTTCACAAGACGACTCGGAAGGTAAGAGATATAGGATTACCAAAAAAAGAAAACCAACATGGTCATACGAATAGAGGATGGATGGGAAGACGCAGATGAAGCTATGGATGAAGACGAAGAAGAAGAAGAAAAAGAAGAGAACCTTGAACTTGAATTGAACGAGACAAGCACGTCAGTGAATGTAGACGAAGAAAAGATCCGTTCGAGTCCTGTCGTGAAGGCATTTACAATACAAGTCTTTCCCCACTTGATTCGACTTGCTACTCCGACATGTTTATCCTTCCCAGTGGAACCTAGTGTGATCACTCAGGGATTAACCCTTACTCATCAGCGGGCTTTAGAATGCCTCAATAATTTCTTATTGGCCATGAGCGAGATCCCCTCAAAGTTCTGGTTTAAGGAACAGAACGCAGATGCTGTACAGGCATGGCGTTGGTTATTCAACATGGCACACACGGTGGCATCAGCACCAGATTCAGAGCATAAGCATGCAGTTCTCGAAACCATCGTCGGATGCCTCTGGTGCCTTGGTCGCGGTCTTGGTCAACACATTGTAAGCTACACAACGCCCAATTTTGGGATTCAGGGAATCCCTGAAAGTTCACACGAATTTTGATAAACTCACCTTACGTTTTAGCCTTTGGAACCTAATGATGTGACATCCCTGTGTGCTGCGTTTGATGGATCCAATAGTGAATCAATGCAAGTCAAGATTGTAGGATGCCTAGGCGCAATTGCTTCAAGACAAGGTGATGTGAATACAAACAAGGTAAATAGAGTAAAGCGAGAAAGAAGTGACGATAAATAAATATGTATTTTTAGAATATTGGATTGTTTATCATGAACATATTAAACAACATACAATCTCAAAAGACGACGCCTGATGTGGCTGTAGAAGCACTCAACTTTATGTTTGATGTCTATAGTGATTGCTCATTTGATTATGATGTTGTTTATGTTCAAGGTCAATTTAATGATCAATTGAAACAGTTATTACCTTTTATCAAATCGATGGTAAGGACTTTCCCCAAATGAAATACCAGATAGATAACTCATATATTCTTATCTTTTTAGGTTAAATCTGTAGATAAAAGAAAAAAGTTTGACCTAAGACATAGATGTGACGAAGCCCTGATGAATTTAGAGGCGTTCATAAAATATAAATCGTCCGAGCGTAAATAAACTAATTTTTTATATTTCAGGGTTCAGGGTTCTTTTTTACTTTGTGAAAATATAAAGTCGGAAGGCTACGAGAATATAGAACACATGGTCAAACACTCGTATTATCTAATCACACAAACCTTTTTTTTTCTTTTGGAAAAGGGAAGTGATTACGTGATAGTTGCCTATGAGAAAAAATGAAAAAGTTTGATTTATTACAATAATAAATTGTTGCACAGTTGGGAAACATTATGCACCAATACAAAAAGGACCCTGGATAAGACCAGTTTATATATATAAAGAATCCTTTCTCTCCCTTTTTTTCTTTTTTTTTTTTTTGCTTTCTTTATTCAATGATCAAATTTAGATATAATAGTCCTGAATTTCAAATCTTTTTGGTGGGCATGATCTGTTTCTGCTGCCCGGGCATGTATAACGCCCTCAGTGGTCTCGGTGCTCAAGGTCAATCATCGACTACAGCTGCAACTGAGGCTGGTACGGCTCTGGCTGTCACTTTTACTCTCTGTTCTTTAATTGGTGCTCCTGTGTAAGGTCTATATATATTTATATATAAAAGATATTCATGTATCCTCTCTAGTTACAACATTTTTGGTCATCGTATTCTTATTCCAGGCGCATTAACCTACGTTCTCTATGTTGGTTCTTTCCTTTCTCGTTCTGATGCATTTACCATTGTAGCAGGTGCCATCTTGGGTATTGGTGCCGGCTTTTTATGGACAGCACAAGCAGGTATCATGATGTCTTACCCCGCAGAAAAGGATAAGGGTAAAGCCTTTTCGATGTTTTGGATGATTTTCAACTTGTAAGAAAAAAAAAACGATAAACTTTGAATTCAAACTCACACAGTGACACATAGAGGTGCTACATTGGGTGCAGCCATTCCTCTAGGTAACGAATGGAATTCTGGATCCAAAGAAGAAGTAAAGACGACAACCTATATTGCCTTCATGGTCATCATGGCCGTTGGATCCCTGATTACACTTGCCCTTCTTCCTCCTCGTAAAGTTGTCCGATCAGATGGCTCTCATGTATCACTCCACAAGTTCTCCAACTGGCGACGAGAGGCATTGGAAGTGATCAAGCTGTTTCTTGATTGGCGTATGCTCGTGTTGATTCCATTCTTTGCAGGATCCAACTGGTTTTATACTTACCAATTCAATGTGTACAACGGACCCAACTTTATGTCGATCCGTGCTCGTGCTCTCAACAATTTGCTCTACTGGCTTTTCCAGATTATCGGTGCTGGTCTCTTTGGTACTTTCCTTGATTACCAACGTATTGGCAACCGAAGAACTCGTGCCTTTGCAGGCTGCACCATCACTCTTATCGTCATTCTCGCTCTTTGGATTGGTGCCTTTGTAATTCAGTCAAAGTTTACTCGTGAATCCGTTCAACCTTCCACAGGCTACGTTGCCATCGATGTCTTTGACCCACAATACCCAGGACTCGTAGTCGAATACGCTCTTTTTGGTCTTATTGATTCTGTCTATCAAGGATTTGCCTATTGGTTGATGGGTACCATGACCAACGATACCGAACGTGCCGCTCGTTATGGTGGATTTTACAAGACGATCCAGAACGCTGCTGCTGCTGTTGCTAACCAGTTGGAAGCTAACAAGATCTCATATATGTCTCAGCTCATCACAGTCTTTGTCATCAATGTTGTCGGTCTTCTTCTCGCTTATGTCGTTTGTTGGACCGTACCTGAAGTGACAGTTGAAACTGTTGATAATTTGGCAGATGGTCATACCGCTGCTACCTTGGTCGGTGGACATGTCGAACAGTTGGCTGAATCCAAAGAGACTCCAGTGGTAGAAGTTGAAGAAAAGACAGCTGCTTAAATCATACCAATTTTCCTTTTTTCCTTTTATATGCATACTCTTAATATTTTGTGATTGTGTATTATTTACATTCTAATTTTCAATAAATATACTCATATTGACCTGTGTTACACTAACAAGCTTGTCTTTGCTTTGTGATCTTGGTTGTTGTAACCATTCTTTTCTTGATTTGTTCAAATTGTACTACTTTTAATACACACTCTACCCTTTATTAGTATATCGTACATCAGATGATAAATAGTCATTGTAAAGCTCACACGCGTCTTATTTGACAATGTTCCTCTTTTCAACAAAGAATTTACTCTGATAGCCTTAACAGACGCTTTTGTAAGCACCATGTTTTATAGCAATTTTTAGGTTATGCTTCAATTCTATTGTGAGCCTGAACGACAAAGAATCCATGAAAGCAAGATGCACAAATGTCGACAAGCAAGTACAGAGTTTGATGAAGGAGGCAAAGAAGGTAACTTACATTGCAGTTCATCGTAACTTTCAAGCTTAAACTAAAACTATTGATTTGACATACTAGTTACCATCATTAAGAGAAAAATACGATTTCTACATCATCACTTCACTCACATTTGGTGGCGATATAAGAAATAAGTTGGAAATAGCTGCTGCAATGTAAATATGTAGATGTACACATATATGTTAATTTCATCTCATTATTGGCTTATCATCTAGTTTATTGACCAATTTTAGGTTAAACCCCTGTATCAGCCAGTGTATAAAAGATAAGGTTCACATCTGAACTTGAAATACACAAGATATTTGTGCACCTGTAATGTTGCATTTTGATATTGCTGGTAACCAGAACGCTAACAACATGAAGTCAAGTCAAAGTCAGTCAAATTGAAGACATCTTCTTTGTGAGCACAAAGTGATGGTCAGAAGAGCTATCTCACGTGTCACTTTTATATACACTTTATCTTTAAAGATATGATCGTGAAACAAAGGGGGCGATTACATTTAACTTTACAATATCATTTTTTATTATTAAACATGCAACTTGTCACGAGATGAGTTTTTTCTTTGTAAAAAAAAAAAAAAAAAAGAGATGGCATCTAAGAAGGAGGGGAGAAGATCAACTACTTGTACGGGTTGAACGCCACGATCATTATCACCAGCCACTGTGGATGGAAGCAAAAGGGAATAAAGTTTAAAAAGGATCAGAATGCGCGATTATTATTTTTTTTTTCTTTCAGCAACGTGAGGTCGTGGCCAAAGGCTAGTGATTAAAGTCAGATGTCCAAGTTCCGATGCTGGGACGTCAAGGAGACTGATGGCGATGATGTAATGACAGGAGTGTACTCGACAGAAGAAGAGGTTGATGAGCATATGCATAAAAGTGGATCATCCATTTGCTGATATTTTTATAGTGGTGGATTCTATTTTTAGTAAAAACAAGGAGATAAAGTCGTAGTCATGACAAAAGGAAGGGTGACAAAAGCATAGCATTGAAGCGTTTGACATGTTCAAGCGGGAATATACTAGTTACTAAACAAAAGACTGTCAGCAGCAGCAGCAGCTTCCCCTTTTTCTATAAATAAAAGAACCAGATGATCTTCGCCTTTACATGCCAAGAGGCAAGCTCTACCAACATATGATATCACACATATATAAATACTTGTCCTTAGTTCTTTTGTGTATATTTTGATATTTTCTCTTTCTTCTCCTTTATCAACAAATTATCATGGTAACATCAGGTAGTTACCCCTTTCAGCGATTAAATTCAAGCCACAGCAGTTTAGTATCCTATGGACAGCAAATCAAGCATCCTCATTTACATGAACTTTACCTTAATCTAAAAACACTCAAGAAGAGCGTCACAGACAAGCTATCTAGAGACAGGCCAGATCGTCGAGAAAAACGACCACAGGATGGAAAGACGAATCCTATGGAATAAAAACTGTACACATCTCCTTCTCTTTCTCTTTCATCTCTGTTGTATATATTTTATATTGTTACCAAATAAAAAAGAGTATGATAGCTCGGTCAACATTCCGGTTCAACAAGATGCAGCTGTCATTTTATCTTTGAATATACTGACATAAGAGAGGAGTTTATCCTTTTAAGTATCGATATGACCTGACGCATACTTTATTTTTATAATTCTCTCTCTTGCCAGGAATTTACTTTAAAGGACCATGATACTTTATGCATAATCGAATAGCAAGCTCTCTTTTTCAAAAAAAAAAAAGGTTTACTTGTAACGTAATACTTACAGCATTAGAACAAAATATTTATAATCTACGCGCATTACGTTTCAACCCAAACGTTTGCTCTTTTCCACTAGTCTTATAGATCCTCGACATACCCATTCCAACTCACTTGGGTCTGTCGTACAGGTACCTCTTTAAACCAAAGAATATAGCTCTCGATTAGCATAAAGCTGGGTCAGCTATAAAATAAGCTTTCGTAAGGCCTGTAATTATAGTTGTTCTCATTAGAGTCATTGAAAAAAAGTAACACGATGCAAAGCAATAAGGTGAAAAGAATGCAGGATGCATAAATCTTGTGTAGCGGCAATAGTTATTTCCCTCGACTTGCAGGTGATTACATGTATCATTTTTGCTTACAAAGAATACGCTTGATCGATGTCGTTTTTCTCGTTGATGAAGTTAGACATATCCGACGACTAATCATAAATGATTCATAATGATTGAAATAGCTCATAACTGCTCTGTTAAAGATCAACAGCTGTAAGCTGCTTTAAATAGCAACGATAAATAAAAGATCTAATATATTATTAATTACACTTTATCATGAGGTAATAGGAGCAGTGCTTTCTAATGAAGAAGATACTCTTTCGTAATGAGACAGATTCATGGAGTTTCTTTGTCGTTGAGCCCGTTGAACAATCTCATGATACATCCTGTCACTGTAAGGAAACACAAGTCCATTACCCAAGCCACGCTTAAACGGGACTATTGATAAAAATGATCAGTAAAGACGCCTTTGCTTACATGTGCTATGGACTTACGAAACCAGCCAACTATAGAATTGCCCATGACTGATTTCCAGTTCTCTTTTCTGCTTCTTTCCCATAGGTAATGTTCTGGTTCTACAGTAATGACTTCAAAGTTATCTCCACTTGTATCAAAATCCACTCGAATATCGTAGGGTCTATCTGCCAAATGTTCAATTGTCGTCTCGTTACGTAGAATGTACGTGAGGTGAACACCGGTAAATCCAAGAACAGTGAAGCCAAAGACAAAGGCTCTATTGTGCAACATTGGTAATTTGTCTTTAACAGAAAAATGTATTCACTTACAAGATGATAAGAACAATCCATTGAGGATCGAGATCAGCATTCTATTAGCTATTAGAGATATACAAAAAGCTACACATAAGGGGCCTTACCATGTCTTGAATTCCTTTGACGACCAATGGTAAGGTAGTTACAAATACCCACAGCCCATAAATACCAGTATATGATGTAAACAAGAAAAAGAACTTGTAATTTCCAAATCCAACGCATCCGCTCACCCTGCAGTAAATCAAATTAGAAAAATTAATGAAAACGCAAGACCTTCTCCTTCATACCAAGGACAATGACTACACACAGAAAAAAGAAAAGGGTTACTATTTCCTGCATTAAAATAACAATATATGCTTACTGGTCCATCTTTAAGATACACTTGTTACATTCTCTACAGTGATGTGATCGATCAGGTTTAAAGCATTCACAGATATGACAGTATCTTCGTTGTCCATCTCTCTTACTGATGGATAGTAGTGGCGTCTTGTCGTTTACATTTTCTGAGTTGTTCATATGTCGAGAATTAAGTGTCTTATTATCAAATAGGTTTGGTGAGTAATAGTAACAAGGTAAGCTCTGACCCACAAATCTTTCATCTTGCATAATCGCAAGAGGGGCTAGTGTCTGCAGTGTAAGAATCAATTAAATTCATTTACCCTCCCCCTCTATTTTTCTATTAAATATTACTTTGGTTTACATTCATTGGGCTGCCTGGTGACGTTGATATGACTCGAATATAACAAACTATAGCCATGAACCAGAAAAAGCTTGCAATAGTTATGAAAGCAACTATATAATTTGTTATAACCCTCATCGTTTCTTTTTCTTTCTTTGTATTCTTACTTGCTTCTGCCTTTTGGTTAGTGGTTTCCTTAATCAATAAATGTACTACGTAATATGTCTTTTTGTTAGCTTCACTTTTGGACAACTTCCGCATAAACTAGATCTAAACTAACCGCAAACTCGAAAAATATATATATACCAAGAGTATCCTAGCAGACCAAACACAACAAAGGGAAGTATAATGCCTGCTACTTTAGAGGCGATTGGGCTTGGTTTGGCCATGACGCGAAAAAGGGTTAAAGAAGAGTCAGGAGGAAAGAGAGAGAGAAAGAAAAAAAAGCAAGGCTGAGCTTTTTTACAGAATTTCCAAATTTGGTTGCTGACTTTTGGCTGTTGGGGGAAATTGTCATTGTCAGTCAGATCCAAGATACTATTGAAGCTATTACTGATAGTGTTTTTTGACGTATCATCGAGCGTATGATACAATTTTCCAATATAAACGTTGTTAGCTTTATTTTTTGGTGTACACTACGCGTACAAGGAAATCCACGAGAAGGCTAATGCTATGGGCGCTTCTTATACGCACTATATGTGGCGTCACTGTACAAATTCACACTACCAAAGTGCCTACATAGCCTAAGGCTGTCCAGTGAAATATCATTGATGTAAAATACGTATATACCATAATTACTCTTGAATGACCTTGGCTCTTTGTTGATAGAACTGATCACATAAAAAATTAAAATACAGCAATAACCACATTTTATCTCTTTCTTCTTATCAACTCGAAGTCCATGAACCAATGTCAACACAGAAATAGACTGCCATATCAAAATGTGGATGATGAGCTTTCCTTATGCTCGTCTTCTTCTTCATGGCCTTTTCTCCATTCTCATCAAAGATGTCTCCCTGACCATTCTCGAATATAAGCTTTCCAGTGATTGAATACATTATAAAAGCTTTTCTAACAAATGAAAGAGAAAAAGGCTTATTTGAAGTAACCACAAATTGGTTCAACGAAGGGCGTGAATTGGTACTGTGTGCATTGTACAATTAGCAGAGAAATGGTGTCTGAACATGTAACCCTGTATGGTTTATTATATATAGAATAGAGTGATAACAGTAGTCAATAATAGTAATAGTAATAATTATGAAGATTCTGTTGCTGCCGCTTTTACAAGTGCTTGATCAAAATCCCATTTGATATCGTCAATATGTCTAAATGAATATTAATATTATGTCTTTACACAAATATTCAACTTACTCTATGCCAACAGATACACGAACCATATCCTTGGTTACGCCTGCAGAGAGCTGTTCTTCATCTGATAATTGTTGATGTGTAGTTAACGCAGGAGCAATAACCAGTGTTTTGGCATCACCCAAATTGGCTAAATGAGAAGCAAGCTTGAGTGAATCAATAAACACTTTAGTTGAACCCTTGACACCAAATGTCAAGACACCACCGTAGCCATTCTTGAGATACTTGGAAGCAAGCTCATGAGATGGATGGTTCTTTAAACCCGGATAAGAGACCCAAGAGACATCATCCCTGGCATCAAGCCACTCAGCCAAGGCGAGTGTGTTCTCAAGATGACGTTGAACACGAAGAGAGAGCGTTTCTAAGCCTTGGAGAAGTAAGAAGGAACCAAAAGGGTTCTGACAAGCGCCAATATCACGAAGAGATTCTGTTCGAAGACGAGCGATGAAAGAAAGATGGCCAAACGTATCCCAAAACTTCATTCCATGGTATCCAGGGGAGGGTTCAGTAAAGTCAGGGAATTTACCATTGTTCCAAGGGAATTTGCCAGAGTCAATGACTAAATGAAGAAGTCAGAGAATAAGAATACAATATAATATAAGCATGTGCTTACCAACACCACCGATGGTTGTACCATGACTATGAAAGGGAGGTTGTGTAAATAATGGTTACATACAATAGTATCCTTTCTCTTACCCTCCGATCCACTTTGTTGCAGAGTGTACGACAATGTCAGCACCATACTCGATAGGTTTGACTATATATCCACCAGCACCAAGTGTGCTATATATACATCTTTAGTCTATATGACAGACCATATCTTTTTATGACTTACTTGTCAACTACAAGAGGAATACCAGCCTCGTGAGCAATCCTAGCTAATGATGCGAAATCAGGAACCTTGAGCTCTGGATTGCCTATGCTTTCGACATAGAGCAACTTTGTGTTTTCATCAATAGCCTTTTTAAAATCTTCGGGATCATCACTGTTCACAAACTTGGTTTGAACTCCCAGACGAGGGAAGACGACTTTGAATTGGTTATAGGTACCACCGTACAGACTGCTACTCGACACAATGTTATCTCCTGCCTTACATAAAGTGGCAAAGACAAGGAACTGAGCAGCTTGACCTGTTATGGATTAGACCTTTGTGTGAAAGGCAAATTAGGTTATTTATGTTTACCTGATGATACTGCAACAGCAGCAGCTCCTTTTTCAAGGGCAGCAATACGCTGTTCAAAGACATCGGTTGTAGGGTTCATCATTCTTGTATAAACATTACCAGGTTCTTTTAAAGCAAATAGATTGGCACCATGTTCTGCGTTGTTAAAGACAAATGATGTGGAAGCATAAATAGGCACAGCACGAGAGTTAGTAGCAGAGTCAGGCTTCTGGCCAGCATGTAACTGTAAAGTATCGAAATGGAATTGATGTTCTTCAGATTGAGTCATGGTTGATAGGATTAGAGAAAGAAAGAAAAAGAAAGAGAGATGGGTACCAGCTTTAAATAAGCTCGGATTATTCCCCACAGCTAAGACGCATTGATGATCTTTTAATTCCCGCTATCGTCCTTCTTAACCTCTCTTTCTTCTTTTATTAAACACTAAACGAACGAAAAAAACATGAGGAAGTGATCCATAGATCTTCCTTCACCAAGAATAATATTTTATATAAATGAGCTCATCGATGCTCTCAATGACAACAGAGATGTTCCCCTGATTGAAAGGGTGTCACTAGAAACATAGCAAATTGATTGGATAACGCCATATGTGCATATTTGGTGAACAAGATGACGAAGGAAAAAAATAGAGCATGTGAATATACGGTGGTTGTGCGAAATCTTTATATTTTTGTTTGACCAATAAGATTCAATGTTTATACGCATTCTAAATATCACATAGGAAGCCTACAAAAGTTTAAGATACTTAATAGAGAACTATGTTGTTATTATTTTGAGCTCATAACAGTGTCCACAATTGTTATTTTAATCAAACACTGCCTGAGGTATACCATTCGCCATGTAAAAGACAGTCTCTTAACTATGCAGCCAATCAGAACATTTCCCCTATTTTCATCTCCAGCGCGCTTTTCACACTCTTTTTTACATATTTTTTTAAGCAGTCGCGCGTGCGCGTTGATTTTTTTTTCTTTCTTAAACTTATCATGTCGCAGCAGCTTTCTGTAGGTGCCATCAAGGCCATTCACTTTGAAGAGAATTCAAACCCATTGGCAACCAATCCAGTTGTTCAAATAATCAACATCAAGGCGCTTCCTGTTAATGGCGCTACTCGTTATAGGTATTGTTAAAAAAAGTTTTGAACCTGTCAAATAGATTAACGTGCGTTATATAAAGAGCTATCGTATCTGATGGTGTTAACTTTATGCAAGGTTGAATATTCAGATATATATGAGAATGCATGATGATTAACCCTTTCATAGCTATGCTTTCTACGCAGCACACAGGTCTTGTTGAACAAGGTCAAATCAAAAGAAACAGTATTGTACGCATTAAGGAATACGCATGCAATATGCTTTCAAACAAAAAGTAAGAAAGAAGGATAGTGTATTGAAGGGCTCACTAACATATATATGTAGAGTGTTGATTATCTTGAATCTTGAAGTCGTTATATCGGACGTGGATGCTAAAGTAGGCACACCTGTCTCTCTTGATCCAACCTCCGCATCTCCAAGCGCAGCTAATACTCAATCAAGACCTCAATCTCAACTCCAACCTCAACAACAACAACAACAACAACAACAACCTTTATTCAATAACACAAGTGCTTCCTATTCCTCTGCAAGTCCAACTTTCAATTCACCTGGAAACTTTAATACAAGACCCAACATGCAACTGGAGTCATCTCTTACACCTATCAAGAACATTAACCCTTATCAGAGCAGGTAATAAAAGTTTCTATTGGTGTGTATGTGTATTAATATACTATAGATGGACCATCAAGGCAAGAGTTACACAAAAGTCTCAAATCAAACAATGGCATAACAACAGAGGCGATGGCAAACTGTTCAGTTTGAACCTGCTGGATCAAAGTGTAAAAAGAAAAAAAAAAAGTATTATCCCTTCATAGACTGACACTTTAATAGGGTGAAATCAAAGCGACCGCTTTCAATGATCAAGTCGATCGTCTTTACCATATGCTTGAAGAAGGAAAAGTATATTATCTGTCTAAAGCTAGGGTAACTATGGCCAGAAAGCAGTTCTCTACCTTGGACAACGAATATGAATTGACACTTGAAGCAGGCACAGAAATAGAACTTGTAAGTCTTTGTTTTATTGTTTATCAAACAAAACTGATTATATACTTGCCTCTAGTGCTCTGGCGACTCTGCTATTCCTCAAATGAATTTTAAATTTGTCAAGGTCTCTGACTTGGATAATATCGAAGCGGGCTCAACTATAGGTAATAAAAAACAAAAAATGCGCAGCAACATATGCTTATGTTTTATTAGATATCATGGGGGTTGTGATTCAAGATAACGGGGTTACTGAAATCGTTACCAAGTCTACAGGCAGACCCGTAAGCAAAGAGTTTGGATTGCACATTCATTGACTTACACACTTATTTTCTTTTTAGACAAAGAAGAGAGAATTATCAATTGTTGATGAAAGTGGCAAATCTGTTCGCTTGACCATTTGGGACAAGACAGCCGAAGAATTTGATTCAAATGATTCTCCTATCATTGCCTGTCGTGGTGTTCGTGTCAGTGACTTTAATGGTAGATCCTTGTCTCTATCTGCTTCTGGCACGCTCAAGACAAACCCAGACATCCCAGAGACACAACGACTGCGTCAATGGTTCAACAGCAATGGTAACAAAGACTTTGGCACGTTTAGTAATAGCGGCGCAATGGGTGAGAATATGTCGCGCCCAACCAACAAGGTTAATCTCTTGCAAGTCAGAACAGAAGACTTGGGTTCTGGTATTCGACCTGACTATTTTTCGTTCAAGGGAACCGTGGCCTATATCAAGCAAGAGATGTTAGCTTATCCTGGCTGTCCTGAATGTAGAAAGAAGTTGCTTCAAGAAGAAAACGGATGGCGCTGCGAAAAGTGTCAAAAGACCTTTACGACACCCGAATGGAAGTTTATTTTGACCATTGGTGTGAATGATCCTACGTCTCAGCTCTTCTTTAATACATTTGACGATGTTGGACGTGCTCTTCTTGGTATATCTGCTAATGAATTGATGGAAATTAAGGATAATGATATCTCGCAATTCCAAAAGATCTGTGGTAGGGCCTTGTTTAAGTCTTACCACTTTAAGGCAAGAGCCAAGTCTGAAACATACAATGTAAGTCTTTGATCTATAGAATGCGTGGTCAGGGTCTTATTTTTTTTTTATAGGATCAAAGTCGTACCAAATATACAATCATGGAAGCACATCCTATTGATCCTATCAAGGACGGTCAAGAATTAGTGGATGAAATCGAGAAGCTTCTTGTATAAATCGTTTACATATAAAAATAAAGAAATTATGTCACTGTTTTTATGATTTATTCAATTATTCATTTTCTTTACACAAAAAAGGCTTTACTTTTTTTTAAAATAAAAAAGGAAGAGAGGGAAAAGGGGGGTAATAAAGGATCATTTGTATGTAATTTCTTAAATGTTCAAGAATAACTCAGTGTACTTGGGGAATGGCCACAACTTGTCGGCGACGTTACGTTCCAACTTGTCAGTCAATTCACGAATAGCATCCATCTTAGCTAAGACTTGGTGACAGCAGGCATCAGCCAACTTGACAACATCTTCAACTTCATTAAGCTCGACCAAGAGATATTTGAGAGCAGTGATATCCTTTTGAAGGGTGGCGACGATAGGTGTCAATTCATTGAGCAAGTCAATTTCAGGAGAGGCCTCAACGCCAATGTTCTTCATAAATGAAGCAGCTTCAGCCAAATCGTGTCTGTATTGGTAAGCAGCAGGCAAGACTTGTTGAATGACCATCGTGATGATTGTTTGAGCTTCAATTGTGACTTCCTTGGCGTATTTCTCAGTCAAGATGTGGTAACGAGAGTGCAATTCAGCGTCAGAGAAGACACCCATGTCCTTGAGCATATCTGCATTTTCCTTTCTCAACAGACGAGCAAAGGCTTCAGGACTCTTTACAATGTTGGGTAATCCACGTTTAGCGGCTTCTTCAACCCATTCTTGAGAGTAGTTGTCACCTTCGAAGCGGATGTTCTTGGTGATCTTGATGTATTTACGGATGACAGCCATTTGGTCTTCTTCAGAAGCGACGGGCTTATCGCCCTTTTGCTGCTTCAAATCACCCAAAATCTCATTCAATGCCTTGGCGACAGCAGAGTTCAACAAAGTAACGGGGAAAGAAGGAGATTGCTTGGAACCGACAGCACGGAATTCAAACTTGTTACCAGTGAAGGCAAAAGGAGAAGTACGGTTACGGTCGGTCAAGTCACGAGCAATAGGAGGCAAGCTGGTCACCTTGAGATCCAAGACGGTGCCCTTGACACGGACATTCTTGAGGTCATTACCAGCAAGTTCGTAGTTGATAGGACGGTTTTCTTCAATGGCATTCAAGACTTCGGTCAATTGAGAACCCAAGAAGACGGAGATGATACCAGGAGGAGCTTCTTGAGCACCAAGACGATGGTCATTGGAGGCAGAGGCAACACCGGCACGTAAAAGATCACCGTGATCCAAGACAGCCTTGAGAACGGCGACCAAGAAGATGAGGAAGCGCAAGTTCTTTTCAGGGGTGTTGCTGGGGTCCAAGAGATTGTCACCGGTATCGGTGGACAAACTCCAGTTACAGTGCTTGCCAGAACCATTGACACCCTTGAAAGGCTTTTCGTGGAAGAGAACCTTCAACTTGTGACGGTGAGCAACACGATGGAAGACATCCATAGTGAGCAAGTTGTGATCAACAGCAGAAAGAACATCTTCAAAGATAGGAGCGACTTCGAATTGAGCAGGTGCAACTTCGTTGTGGCGGGTCTTGATAGGAACACCCAACTTGGCAAGTTCAAGTTCACATTCACTGATGGCAGATAAGACACGAGTGGGGATCTTACCAAAGTAGTGATCTTCTAGTTGTTGGTGACGAGGAGGAAGGCCACCAATCAAGGTACGACCAGTGATTTTAAGATCAGGACGAAGGGTATATAAAGCACGGTCGATCAAGAAGTATTCTTGTTCAGTACCCAAGGTGACGTAGACAAGCTTAGAACGAGCTTTTGATAGTGTGTCAGATAAATCTATAGTTGCTGCTTTCATCTTACCTTCAGCTTCAACAGGAGTAATGATGTTTAAGATGTCCAAAGCAACCTTTTCCAAAGCTTCACATGATCTCAAAAGAACAGACTTTTCATCCAAAGCTTCACCATTATAAGAAATGAAAACGGAGGGAATGTAAAGGATAGAGGTACCATGAGGACCGTCAGAGATGAACATAGGACTACCCCGAGTTATTAGTGCTGTGACTAGGTTAAAGTTTGTAATGATAATTACCTCTTGCTATCCCAAACAGTGTAACCACGAGCTTCAAAGGTAGTACGCATACCACCGGAGGGGAAGGAAGAGGCATCGGGTTCGGATTGAAGTAATTGAGAGCCAGAGAAAGTATCAATGGCAGTAACCTATAGAAATAATAAATAAACATACAGTAAATGACAACATTATAAACAAATCATACCACTTCGGAACCGTCAACAAAGGTTGATTTGAGAGATAAGAATGAATCGTGCTTTTCAGCAGTACCGTCATTCAAAGGTTGGAACCAATGAGTGAAGTGAGTAGCACCGCGTTCGATAGCCCAAACCTTGACAGCATGAGCAATAGCATCAGCCGTAGCCTTGTCCATAGTTTTCTTACCCTTGGAGATTTCTACAAAGGTCTTGTAAACAGGCTTGGGCAACATCTTGGCCATCTCGGTACGTGTGAACACGTTCTTTCCAAAGTTTGAAGAAAGAGGTTGAACTTGGCCGTTCTTGGAAGGGAATTCGACATAGCGAGGGGACTTTGTGAGGGATTCAACCACAGTGTTGAGACGTGCTTGATGAGCCATCCTTTTTTAATATTTTGGGAAAAGAAAAAGAAAAAAAAAGGGTCGAGTAACTGAATTGACAAAGAGAAGGGGGAAATTGGAGATAAATGACTGCGTTTTTTCCGATAAAAGATAAGACAAGAATAGAAAGGCCCTCTGATTGGTACTTTTTAATGTCACACGCAGAAGAAGGTATGTAAATATTAAAGCAAAACAGCGATAAAATAGCCTTCTATAAATAGAAAATCATAAAGAGACATAGCAACAGCAAGAGAGAAAGACAGAGGGAGAGATAGTATGTGGTCCTTGGTTATCTCATAAAAAGAGAGAAGCAAATAAAATATGGATCTACCATTTTTTTTAATAAAGAGATGTGACTCACATATACACAAACGTATGCTTTTTTGCATGATGTTTTTAGTAAATAATAGTCTACTAGCCTCTTTTACGCCCATGAATAAAAACAAAGTCATGAATATAGCGCCAAGAATATTTTCATGTATAATTAAACCATATATCATCTTGTTGATAAGCTGATTTGCCTAATCACTTATATAATAATTGTAAAGGGATGCTATCTTTTTTTTTTTTTTAATTTAACCAGTTGGATAATAATTCGTTAATAGAAGGGATGACGATACCCTAGTTGCTGTTCTTTCCGTCTTGCAGCATTTACTAGTAAGATGACTGGATAAAGAACAGCCTATCATCTTACAAAATACTGCAGCCCAAGTCAATACTCGACCCTATTAGCTTTTGGTGTCGATTAAGCTTCTCTGTCTCATAATATCTTTGTTTATTCAGACAATATCAAGTTATATTCATGAAATGTAAATATGTAATATAGAATCAAGGCGAAAACATGTTAATGACGGATAACTCAAAAAAGTTATTGTCAGTAATTTCTTGAACGGACAAGTGCGAGAACAACGACTAGGGTATCATCATCTTTTTTATTAACGAATTATTATCCAACTGGGGATCCTTGGATGAACATTTTTTTGTAAATTAAAGAAAAAAAAAACGGCGATGCTTAATATTCAATGCCATTTTTAAATGAAACTACGGACTGTCAAAAATATAAACGCGTAAAAAATACGCATTTTTTCTTTTTTTCCATTTTAAATATAAAGATGGATAACCCATATTCTGTGCTTGATCAAGAAGATTCAGACGAATATGTTGAAGTACGCCTACGAATAGCCTTATACTTCTAAACTAATACATCACACAGTTTATTCGCTTTAAAAATTTAGTTAATGACGTTAAAGTGAAATTACCAGAGCCACCTTTCCATGAGCCAAGTCAAGACAAAAAGACATTCTTTTCTCAGTTGACATGTTCTAGTAAATATGGTTACTTTGTTGCTGCTTGTAATTCAGGTAATAGGTTATATACTCTACAGAACAGCACAAGGTTAAAAAAGCTTTTGCATAATCAGGATTCATTTGTGGTCTCAATCAAAAACTATATGACACCATTTATGCTGCGAACAGAGGAGAAACAGTACCACTTGAAGAATACTTTATGATTCCAGTGAAAGAAGGAGGTGTCAAATTTTTAGCTTTGACAAACGATGATCTTCAACTGATTGTCGGCCTAAACGGTGGATTGCTGTTGATTTATCATGTATCTGATATTATCAAGAGTGTAGGGATTAATTATGAAAGCGATATTTGTGTGTTGCATATGTACTGATAGATTACTTTAGCGTCAAGATGCGACACCCATTCGTTCAATACCACTCAACTGTGATATCATCAGTATTCACCCCAACCCTGAGGTATATCCTGATCTGTTGGGTGTATGTGTCGAGAACAAGGGATGTCAGCTGGTTCAAATCAGCAATGGTCAAACAGTAGCAACGATTCCAAATGCAGTAACAGCTTCTTGGTCACCAAAGGGCAAACAAATTGCTTGTGGTGACAGGGAAGGTGTTATTCGTGCATTCGATATTTCAGGTGCACTCAAAGATGAAATTACACCACCCACAAATGTTCAAGGCAAAGAAGGTTTGGCTTATAGTCATTTATTATTATTACTATTATTGCTAAACACAGTTTTTATAGTGAGAGCTCTATTATGGGTTGAAAATCATGACTTTTTTGCAATTTACGGAACTACTGATTCACCAGACGCGGAACACTTTCCATACATCATTCACCGTAAGGCAGAGAGCGAGGATGAAAAATATCAGGCATTGGGCGAAGTGACACCCATTTACAACTCTGAAAACCCTGATAACCAATTTTACTTGTCACTCATTCGTGATTTTGGACCAGATGCAAAGACGATGATTATCGTATCGAACGCAGTAGCAAGTGATTTGGCTGTGGTAGGACAGCATGATGACGGCACATGGAAGACATGGATCCTCGAAGAAAGCTGCATTCCTTCGTTACCTCTGTCAGAGGATGACTATGCTGATACCCTTCCTGTGGGCCTCACTGTGGATTTCTCTGCATCCAAAGAATTACCTCCCTTTGATGCATCTGAGAGCGATACGCCTGTACAACCTTTACCTATTCTCTTGTTCCTTACAAACGAAGGACGTATTTGTGCTTACAACATCTACAACACCAACCTTGCCAAATCTGGTCAGAAATATAGTGGCATGATTACCGCTCATGATATTTTCTCTATTCAGCCACCTTCTGATAAGCCTGTTGCTTCTATACAACAACAGCAACAACAAGAGCCAGCAGCTACTCCTTTTGGCGCACCAGCTACTCCTTTCGGCGCATCAGTCACTTCTTTCGGCGCATCAGCTACTACAACATCTGGCTTTAGTTTTGGCGCTCCATCCAATGCAAAGATTCCTTCCTTTACCACAATGAAGACAAGTGCACCCAATATTAAGCCAAACCCATCCGCCTTTGGTGCTGCTGCTTCCCCTGCCCCTGCCTTTGGAACAAGCGGATTTGGTGGAGGCACAGGTGGCATGGCACAAAAGCTTTCGTTTGCTGCCCTAGCAAAGACATCTACCACACAATCCAAGCTTACCTCACCTGGCATTAGTAGCTCATCTACATTTGGCAGTAGCTCAGGCACAGATAGCGCTCCTGTTTTTGGAAACGTGTCAGCTCTGGGCAATAAAGCCACTGCACCTACACCTGCCTTTACTACAACCACATCGTATGGAACTACTCCACAGTCTGCCTTTGCTAGTCCTCCAGTAGCTACAAATCAACAGACTCCCGCGCCCGCCTTTCCCTCAGCTTTTGGCATGCCCAAAGCATCTGCTCAGCAAGTGCCATCCGCATTTACAAGTACAATAGGAAGTAAGTATGCAACTTCTGAAGTAAAGAAAGAAGAACCACACCAAATGCCTAAAGAAGAGACACCAGTAGTACCTAAGCAGAAGGTTCCAGAAGTGCCTAAACAAGAGATTCCAGTAGCACCTAAACAGGAGGTTCCAGAAGCGTCTAAACAAAAGGCGCCAGAAGTACCTATGCAAAAGGTTCCAGAAGTTTTTAGAGAAGAAAAGCCACAGGCGCCTAAACAAGAGGAATCTCAGGTGCATAAAGAAGAAAGGCCACAGTCATATGAAGAAGACCTTGCCCAAGGGTTCAAAGACACTACTCTTGACAGAAAGCCTACAGAACCTGAACACAAGACGGTAGAGCTTCCAGTCGAAGAGAAAAAAGGGGATTTATTTGTCTCTTCAGAAATCAAGCTACCAGTTCCTCAGCCTGAGCAGAAAGAAAAAACTGAGCCTGTGATGAAAGAAATAAGAAGAGAACCTGAGTTACCAAAACAAAGAGAAGAATCTATTGAAGCGGAAGTGAATGAACACGACAGACCAGTGGAATATAAGCCCGTAATTATTAAACGTCCTACATCTGTACCCACATCCAAAGTACGCTTTGCAGTTCGCTCAAAGGAGATGCATCAAGGGCTGGATGAACCTCACAAGACGACTGCTACGCACGTAAGTCATTCTTTCTGTTTGTGAAGCAAGGTTAACGTTTCTTTATGCAGCCTATGGCAAGGGAATTTGAAAGTATTTATTTGGAAACAAACAGCGCAGTTCAGATTGTAAGTCTGATTTTGTGTATGCTTGCATTGTTTTCTAATGTGAACAAATAGTCCTCAAGAATCATTTCTGATATTGATGAAGAAATCAATTTCCATAAAGTTGAAGATATGCCAAAGAAAGCAGATGAATGTATCGCATACTTTGACAATGTAAATCATGAATGGAAGCGAGGCGATATGAAGGTGATCGATCGTATTCTAGATGAACTTAATGAACGAGTTCCTATTGCCAAATCCGAAGCTGAATCAGTAAGCAAAAGCCTCAAATCACTTGAGGCCTCAATCAATAGACGTATGTGATTCTATGTTTTTTGAATACTTTGCTAACTTGTCTACAGTTGTTGATCACGCTGAAGATTTGGTTGGAATGGAATTAAAGACAACAGAAGAAGGCAAACTTGATCTTGATTCTACAATGATAGAAAAGATCAAAGAGATTAGTGTGGATGTACAACAAAAGGAGCTGTTGAATATACTTAAAGACAAAGAGGATGCCTTTGAAGATAACATGAACAAGTATGAGCAACGTATGGAAGAACTCAAAAAAGAATTGGCTCTTGCTTCTGTTCCAAACAAGCCTCAGCAGTAAGTCTAATATGTAATATTTAGATGTATACTCATTCTTATATTTACAGAAAACTGACAACATATACTCTACGACGTATTATCCGTGACTTTGAAAACTCCATAAGAAATGCAGAGAATCAATTGAGCACTCTTGAAAAGACTGTGGAGAAAATTCCATCAAGAACAACTGAATAAATATATATAATCGACTCTTGTGCACACTAAATAGAAAAATAATAATTTCAAACAACAAATGATGTAAATAAGAGCCCAACAGAAGTAAAAGAATTGTTTAGTATTTCAGTTATTACATTGATATTAAATACTTGCATTAAAAGAGAGTTTATAAGAGAAAAAGGCTCCTAGCTAATGTAAGATTCATAGACTGCAAATCCGTGCAGCTGTTCTATGTTCCTGAGAAATTCTTGGATTTGGGTTCTCATATACCTGTTTAAGCCTTGAGAGGTGAATGCTGTTGACTTTGCTGAAAATTTGTTCAGCTTTAGCTTCAATTTATGTTTATCCATGGTTGCACGCTTGAGGCGATAGTGGTATATTCTCCATAGTTCCCATCGCATTGCTTGTTTGATCATTTCATTGGAAAGCGACAGATGATTCATAAACGATAAGCACTCTTTTCAAGTATGGCTTAGAATCACATCAACGCTAATCCAACTATTTATAAAACAAAGAAAATTGTCCGAAAAGAAGCAGAAGCAGAATACGATGACAATATTGGAGATCCTAAACAGCCTTTAACACTAGATCAATTGAGTGTTGCTCAGTTTGAGCATATTGAAGTGGATAGCGAGAATAGTACGGTGTTGATTGAATTTACACCGACTGTTCCTTACTGTTTAATGGCAACGTTGATCAACTTTTATATTAGAGCACGCTTACTGCACGGTTTGCCTGATCATTTCAAGATAATCTCTCTCATATATACACATATTTGGACATGATTTGCACTAAAGCAACTATGAGTTGATATTGAAATACGTAAAGAAACTTATCAGTATGAAGGAGTAGTGAATAAGCAATTGAATGACAAGGAAAGAGTAGCAGCTGTGCTGGAAAATAATCATTTATTGGAAGCTGTCAACACTTGTCAACTGCAAGCCTCCATGGGATGGAAATCAACACCAATTACATTCCCTTTAATTTATTCTTTAGTTCCTTCTATTACATATTTATAAATGCAGTAATCGTACCACCAATACAATGTTCTTTTTTTTGCAATAAGTGGGTTATACTTTTCTATTGCTTAACAATAGAATGAGAAATGATACTATAGATTATCAGAAGAATAATTGAGCTTATTTCATGCTGAATTACAGAGACATTTGTACGAAAATGCGACAGGTTACTGCTCTTGCAGGACAAAGAAAAGATGAGCTGAGTGACAAATTGTAATGCTTTAGCGTCCTGGCCAATCGCAAGGAGAGGCTGTAATTTAAAATCTAAGGTTCATAAATTACGCTTCTCTCCCCCCTTTCTCTCATTTTCTCTTTGATAATGACAATCAATATACAACAGCAGCAGCAGCAACAGCAACAGCAGCAACACCAACAAACAGAAAAAGAAGAGATTTGGTCTACAATATTATCTAATGTAGCGTCTTCTAGAATGGTCCCTACCAAAAGAGTGCTTGTATTAGGTATTATATAACATAACATCTCCGTTCTATAAAATATTAACATTCACACATCACAAAAGGTGATCCTGCAACTGGCAAGTCAACATTAATACATTTCTTAAAAAATGATCCTGGACCACAAGTAGTGCAAGCAGATAATGACGATGTGCCAACATCATTTGGAGTCAACAATAACTATGTTCCACTTCCAGTAGAGAATCTCGATGATGACACAAGAAGTACATTAGCACTAGGGTACAATATGATTGATGTGCAGGATGAAGAGAATGAAGGTATATTGTGCTTTAAAGAATAATAAGAGAAAGATTAATCAACAACAACAAAAAAAAGCTATTGCTCGCTTAGGTGTATATCAATTAGGTCTATCAGCCTCCGAATATTTGCCTTTACTTAAATTTGCGCTCAGTACAGATACATTAGCTGATTCATGCGTTATCATCCTATTGGACTGGACGCGTCCTTGGTCATTTTTGGAATCACTTCAAAGATGGATACATGTAGTAGAACATAGAATTAATGAGATATGTAAGGATGGTTCAGCAGGCGAAACCTGGAGTAGAGGAAAGGCTATAGTGGATGAACTTAGAGAAAAAGGTATGGTCATATACAGGTGTATGTAAAAAGGTTCAATGCTAATTCTGTACATATTAGTGGAGCATTACCTTCAGACATATACAGAACCAGTTACTACAAACCCACTAAATGTTACTACGTCTACATCAACGGGATCAGTACCATCTACACCAAATACTGCCACAAGCACCAATTTCCCAACTGCAGCTGCATCTGCTACTGCACCTCTAGTTACCACCACAACTTCTGCGGATCAAGTCACTTTGCCCTTAAGTCAAGGTACCCTGACCAATAATTTAGGTATACCCATCATTGTCGTCTGCACCAAGGTTCAATCAAACAATGGATCAAAAAGGCATCTTCTGACTATATTTTCGTAGAGTGATGCAACCAACATGCTTGATCAAACAATGGATTATAAAGATGAGCACTTTGATTTTATTCAACAAATGCTTCGTTGTGTATGTATGAAATGTAAGTATTCCTAAAGACAGAGAAGTTTTGCTCGGGAGCAAATTGACATGTGTCTTTCTACAGATGGTGCTGCCTTATTCTACACGTCAACCCTTCAACCTTATACCTTTCATAATTTACGCCAATATATCCTGCACAGGTTATTATCCACACCAACAAAACCATATCCATTCAACATGAAAGCACAGGTGATCGAAAGAGATGTCGTCCTTGTACCATCCGGTTGGGACTCATGGGGAAAGCTGAGAGTGTTACGAGAAGGATTTGACTGTGAGGCAGTCAATCAGGGCTGGGATACAGACATGGATGCAGTGACAGATAGGCAGCAGCCAGGAGCCCATGGGGCTAGAGGAATCTATGAAGAGGTCATATCAGACCCATTAGCTAAAGATCAGGTACGGAATA